CAGCACAAAGCGATTCAACCCAACACGATTCAGTCTAATCCCTCGGATCATCAAAAGTATTTCACAAAAATAGAATTATAACAATTAATGCAAAAATCTTGACTTATTGAGACGCAACACGAATATGCTGAACTGTATATCATAAGTGATAAATTCTTCCATGTAGCGTTTTTCAAAACATGAAAATTTAATAATACCTTAATGAATTAAAAGGAACAAGAGGAAAGATTTCAGAGCATTTCCAACAAAAGTGACACTTGCCATTTTCATAGAATAAAGTTGATAAAAGCATCATCTTTCTCAGTCATAAATGTGGAGTTTGCCGTACTGGTTTTATAGCAGCTAAAATTATTTATCACTACGCAATATCATTTTTAATATATTTCATGTTTGAATAAAATATGTTGACATCATATAGAAATTAGCATTCCTGTGTTTAAATTATTAAGTCGTTCAAAAGATAATCTAACTAAGAGTAAATAAAACATAGAGAATATCGATTATTTAGCTGCTTCATGAGAAAGGCACTACATGGAATATATGCAAAATCTTATTATTATGGTAAGATAGAACCTTAAAAATGGTATCATAACAAATCTGCATATTTCATAAAAGGAGGGAAAGAAAATGATGAGGAAGGAAGGTTAAATATTTAAAGACCTTCAAAATGAGATTACGGTGTTTCATTAAAAGATGAAATGGACGAGGGAGTGAAAAGAGAAGTTAGCGAGCGAATTCCACCGCCAGTCAAAATTCTTTTAAACAGACAAACATTACCATTACCCAAAATGCAATCATCTGAAATGCCTTCTTCCGAATATGTCAACAATCAGATCAATAGCTTTAATCTCTACCTACCCGCATCTGAAAACCATTTCATCATCAATAAACATGTATTCGCATGCATCATATTTTTCAATCGGCTACACCTAAAACATGTAAATTTAGATCAAAATTTAGATTTTTCAAAAATTATAGAAATATGTGTTGTTTCGTGTAAAATCCCCTGTGCATTTTTTCTACTAATTCTTTCTTCATTTTTAATTCTAGTTTTAGTTTACAGCGACCACTGCACAGAACACTAATCGAAAACAAAATCTGCAGAAGTCATAAGTGAATCAGGTAGCTGATCTTCTGATTTAGAAGCTACATTTCCCATGTAAATAAAATGTTACTTTTTCTTTTGACAGTTTGAGAATATGCTTCATTTTACACTTAATATTAACAGCAACTTTGCTATTGCGAAGTTGATTAATAGAAAAGTCGAAAATGAGTCCAGAAGACAGAAGCAATCATGGTAAAATACATTTTAGGTTTTCATAATAGAAATTTTCAAACCATGTCCTTTTTATTGGAAATTGCTTCTTGGATTTTCTGAAAATTGCAATCATTACAAGTAAACTATTATTCCTAGAAAATATACTTTGGTTCTTATTCAATCAGTTAGTTTCTATTTTCTTGTTTCTTTCTCCATATATACAGATGATCTTTCTTTTGCAATTGTTGAATCAATCGTAACGAAGAATCTGTTAGTATATCGGAGAAAATTCAGAATTGAAGTGCTGACGGTATTAATTACAGCAATTTGTCTGAAGATCCCAGACATAATTCTTAAATGTTCAACTAACATTCTGCTTACACATACATCAATCATTTTCCATAAAAATTATTATTTGATGAGTAGTCCATAGTAAGCTTCGCTTTAAACAACATATTAGTATATTTTTTTTTCTGAAATACTGAAATATTTTTTTTTGGTAAAGATCACGTTGAACATGATACGTTGAACATTTACTATTGACCGTATTATGTTCAACGTAATCTCTGTCAAAAAAAAAAAAACTTTGCAGCTTCATTTGCTGTTATATTTCAGTTTTAATCCGTAATAAAATATTTGAAAAAAAAAATCTTTCTGATTCGCAACTACTGAAAATCGATTTCTATTAAAAATGATATACCAAGAAATTCAAGCACGGATTACTTTTTTGTGCTAATACTATCTCTGAAACAGTCAAGAATTTAAAAATATCATCTACCCTCCTGTAATGGCCCGGCGGATATTTTTTTTTCTCATTAAAGTATTTTCAAAATAGTAAATCCAACACATGAAATACCCAAGAGCGAGGAGTATGCATGAAATTATCTTGATAATATTAACTTCTTGTGCATTATCTGTGATGGTAAAAGTGATAGGTGCTTTATCTGTAGTTATTTTTATTTATCAAGGATATAAAAAAGTTGCCAAATGGATATTTATCGCTGAATAGTCGAAATCTTAAATTTTACTATTTCATACCTTCTCATAACACCGGAACTAGTGTATGGTCAGACTAGATACAACTGTTACTGCAGTTGACTAGAAATCATTTTCGTAAATTGATTTTCTATATGGAATGTTGAATCAGTCTGAGGACTGAACGGGTATTTTTCTTTTCCGGAGACGAATTTAAATTATTCTAGTGTAGCTAAAATCAATTGCAAAAATCTATTTTCACTCTTAAAGTTTCCTAAAATATTCAGTAGAAAATGCTGTAAAGCAGAAACAAAGGATTAGGAAATCGGAAAACGTAAGTTCTTTCCAAAAGTAACATTAATCATGCGAAAATTATAGAGAAAATTAGTGAGTGTGAAATATTTTAGTTTGAAAGCATACATCTCCCAAAAAAAAAATCCCTTGTTTGGATCGATTTCAATAAATAGCGATTTCAATAAATTTCAATAAATAGCTAGTTAAGATGTGCTTTCATAAATTTATACAAAAAATTATATCTTACTGCAAATTAACAAATTCAATAGGCAATAAATTTTATGCAAGCAGAGAGCTATCAATAAAGTTGATTTTCAAAAAGATTTTTAAGATTTTTTTTGAAAGAGATAGTTTACTGTAGAACTGCACATAGAAATAAAATTTCAAGCGTTAGTGAACGAAAATATATTGAAATTAAAGTTCACAAAGTTCTGTATAGTACCATGATGTTGAAACCAATGCTAATAAGCATATAACATGCACTTGATCATAGTAAACTCTCCAAATAAAAATATGGGTTGAATAAAAAAGTTTTATAATTAATTGATTCCTTTTCTTTTTTTAAATATAAAATAAATATTAGTATAGCCACAACGGCATTCCTCACAAAATTTCCCGTGTATCTTTCATGGAAAATCCTATAATAAAGTCCAGACGTGCAATCGTTCTGAATTTTGAGAAGTAAGCTGGTTAGTGTTGAACTATAATGATATAGATTACTTACTCTCCTAAAATTATAAGATGCTGAATACAATAGTTTCAATCATGAAAATCGTCAATGTTGGCAATCTATTTCGACGAATCTGAAATAAGGCTGCACAGATAAATAATAACTGAAGAATTTTTATATGAATCCGAGCTCAGAGGAAAAAAAAATTTCACTAGTTTACACAAATTTGTTCTCAAGTAGTCCAGCAAACTACAACAACAAAAACGTAACCGAATAGATATAAATCATTTCAACCCTGTAAATTGTCCTTATAATTTAAGCTGTTTATTAAATTTTGTGCACTAGTCGTTTCTGCTGTTTAGTTTGCAAGATCGCGCATAATACGGCACATAAACTGCGCGCTGCATTATTGTGGAATAAGTTATTTAAAGTTCGAAGTGGAAAGACTTTAATTTAAAAGTGGAATTAACCGTGAAATAATTGAAGATAGAAGAGATAGAAAAAAATTATTTGCAAACCTCGTTTTTTAATATGAAATCCTTGCTACTGTTCACTGGATCTGGTAATAAGATAAAAATGATAGCAAAGGATAGAACTAGACCGCATCTTAAGTTATCATGCAAGTAATTGAGGACTGATTGGGAGATTTTAGTTATAGCTGTGGTGCAAATTTTGAAGAAATTGCAGAAATTTTCAAAAAAAAAGCGAACGTAATTAGGATAATAAGGAGTGATGTACTGATAAGATGAGGTGAAATACCTGCAATGAGATATGCTTTCAAGACATATACGATAAACAGATAGGTAGGCGGAGGGTTTGCTTCGAAAACAGGGCGGAGTCCGACGGGTGCGCACAACCAATCAGCTCCGCATTGACGATCTTTGCCTCGCTGTGCATCCAAGCATTTTCGGACATTCGCTCACTTACTTGACCATGGATTGCTCCTTGTGGCCTCGATATGCCGCAGCAGCTGCCTACAATCCGGCAGGAACCGCTGTACCGAGTCCAGCTGCTGGTGCCGCAAGTGCTGCTGCCGCTGCCGCCGCTGCTGCCGCTCTATATACTCAGCCATTTACTAGTAATAACCCTCATCTATAGTCTACTTTTAAACATATATAAATCTTGAATAACTGTCCTAGCAGTATACATTCTGAAACAACTATGTTTGTGAATATATAAAGTGTTAAACCTTCAGTAAGCTTATACATTTTATAATGAAAACTATAGTGAAAACTTATAATGAAAACTTTATTGTAAACATTAGTAATAGTAATAAGCTATTGCGATGCCTTTCTCGAAAGCATTTATTTCACGCAGACTATCAAGCAAACAACTTGCTGCAAACTTGCAATTTAAATTCCTCTATATAACATGATAATTTACGAAAATTCTAGAATAAACCATCGTTTCTGATGTCAGGTCACACAGGCGTCAATCAGCTCGGTGGAGTTTTCGTGAATGGACGTCCTTTACCGGATCATATCCGGAATCGAATAGTTGAATTAGCACATCAAGGTGTTCGTCCCTGTGACATCTCACGACAATTACGGGTATCACACGGGTGTGTATCGAAGATACTTGGTCGTTACTATGAGACCGGATCCATTCGACCAGGTTTTTCTTCCTTTTTAATACGAAAAATTTTAACGAATATATTACATGACCAACTCAAATTCTTCTCTAACGATGCTTCATTTTACATCTTCTTGAAATTGATTTAAAAAATTTCAAATTCATAATTTCCACTGTGCATGCATTCAATATTAAATGACCATAGCAAATTCTTGATTTGTTTATTATTCCTTTTACTATATCCAAACTTCAACACTCATTGCCAAAGCAGTCATTCAGTATTTCCATATTTATAGAATTTTTTCAAAATTTTGAAGCTGCTAAAATATGTTTCTTAACTTGTTGCCAATTACTAATCTTTGTAATATGCTCAGATTGGTTTCTTTAAAGATTATCCAAATTTTTGCATCGTGAAATTGTTGAGTTTTAAGATTTCATATATACATTTTAGGAGTTATTGGTGGGTCAAAGCCAAAAGTAGCTACACCAAAAGTTGTTCAAACAATTGCTGCTTATAAAAGGGCTAATCCAACAATGTTTGCCTGGGAAATTCGAGAAAAATTATTAGAGGTGGCTATGGTTCAATTTCTGCATTCGCTTTTCAAATTTCATTTTTTCTCTGTTATTTTAGAAGTTAATACTTTTCAACAATCACTACTGTTACTTTGCAATAGAATATTTTTTGATATCTTTCCGAAAGAATTGGTGATTTAATAAATCCATTTAGATTCATATTGCTAGTTATTAAATCAGTGAAGTATTGCTGGTACCCTTAATTTTTTTGCAATTTAAATCAGTTGTAAATGAATTATAACCACAAAAAGAAAAAGTTACGATTGTGGCAATCCAGCATACCACAAGCACATTGAGCATCTTCAGATTTTGTTTGAAATTCATACAAAAACGAAAATTATTATCACATTATCATCAAAATTATTTTTTGTAACTTAAATCAATTTTACTAACTTAGGATACTTCACGTTTTTCACACAATTTTTTGTTTTAGAGTTTAAATTTTTTGAGATACTGAGTTTTTTTATTTCAATGACTTGAAGGCAACAGAAGAAAACTCTTTTTAGAGGCAAACCCCGATCTAAAACAACGGCATCAACCATATTTATGAATGAGCCCATCATTTTTAGGTCATTCCCATTTTTGTGCCGAAACTTGTCATCTCACTCAAATTATCACAAACCAGACTTTAATCCCAAAATATTTTCAATTGAAATGGAATTCAAAATTAAAAAATACAAAAAATTTCGGAAGCATCAACGTTCATTGCCTTCAAAACTCTTGAGAGTAATCTTGCTACTCTTTGAATTAAAAGAAGTGAAGACACACAGATAATAAACTTGACTGTACGAATTTTCATAAAATCTAAGAGTTGATATCGGCGAAATCCACTCCTTATTCATCGTTGAATAAATTTAGGAACGAATATGTGATGCCGAAAATGTGCCAAGCGTGTCTTCAATTAATCGGATCGTCCGGAATAAATCATCTATGGATCGCTTATCAGAAAGAACTCTTCAACAAACAGCTTTTTTAACACCAACAACTCCTTATTCCATCAATGAGCTTCTAGGTTTCGAACAATCTTCCAAAGTCTGTTTTCCAAAATCTCCCATTTCATTTTGAGAATAATATAATTTCTAATCTTTCTTGTAGGATTGATTTTGGTGCATTTCATTGGGGCAGAAAAAGTTGCAAACTTGATTTTTGAAATAATCAGTGAAAAAAAATTCCTTCCATTATTTTAGAAAGAAAATTCATTTTGTTTGACTTTAACAATCTTTCTTCTTCCTCCATTTCATTGTTGTTAGTAAGTGTCAAATCGCCCCTATATGACCATCAGTCAGTGCAGCGTATGCATCTTCAGCTTCATCACTGATCTGATTGCAAATTAAATTGTTTCAAGAGTAGCGTGGACAATTCCCAAATAGCGCAGCAGTTGGCGACAAATTTTAAAACGGTGGCTAAAAATGCATTTACTTCACGACTTCACGTTTCTCTAGGTGACCTCTTACTTTCCATTCGTTGCAAATATTTCAGTTTTACTTATAGAAACTGGTAAGTGCCTTCAATAATCAAAGATTGAACAATGTGAAAAGGATAAGCGTTATTTTTGATTGTGTTTTGGGAATTGAGATAAATGATATCTGCTTTACAAATTAATTAGTAATTTAATCTTACATAGTATTTTTCAACCTATGGTGTTTTTTAAATTGTTGTTTTAAAAAGCTAATTAACATTTGGTTAACACATTCATGTTTTGATGAATCAATCGATCTGCAATTTATTGATTTGGAGTTATAATTAAAGTCGTCAAGTATTCTTAAATAAAAAAGCAAGTTTTCCTACTGTAAACATTTTTTATAGAAAAAGGTTGGGAAGGAACAGGTCCTACAGTAATCGCATCATCGAATACAAATTCTCAAACATATTTTGGTAAGTGCTGGAACTTGTTAGTCGTTTTGTCATTTGTCGCTGTCGTTACAGTCATGTCATTAGTAAAGGAAATTTATGTGATAGTAGTTAAATTGTAATTTTATTTAAAAGATTATTTTTTTGCAAAGAAAGAAATTTCATCTCTATATTTGAGATTTGGAGAAATTGGACTTGTTTAAATTTTAAAAAATTTCAATAACAGGGGTTAAAATCAGTAATAAGAATTATTTGATGAAAGCGATATGTAATTAATCAGTTTTATTTATACGAAATGGTTCCTCTTTTGAGTGCTTACTCATAGCTATCAATTAAAAAAGCACTTTGTTCTGGAACATGCTGCTTGCGGAAGATTGACATGCCATCTGATTATTTCAAACTCAAAAGTAGTTGACGCCACTAATAGAATCAGCCATACAAAATTGGCAACTAGTTAAAAAAAAATGAACTGAAAAAATTGATTGATCAATTAGAATGAATCTACTATTAACTAATTCAATTTTGTCCTAGCTGTACCCTTTTCGAAATTTTAAAAATCCATATGTAATTCTTTCTCATGTTTGATTTACCATTCATAGTTATTTTATTTATTTATCGTGGATTTTGATCTGAAATCAGCCAAATATCTTCACTTATTGGGACTTTAAATCATATCATTTAATAATACTAACAGCAGAAATAAAAGATCTGCAATTTATTCGATTGAACCTGTCAACATCAGCGATTTTTTTGATCAATATTACATTTATCAATTCTATAAGACATGCAGTGACTTGTTTTTCTATGTGAACTACAGAATTTATTGAGAGAATGGTGATTTTTCAGACGGATTTCTCGGTGATTGTTGGGCAGATTCGATACGAGATCCTGATTGTATGCCACCAAGCGGTATTAACCTCAATGCAAACCCAAACAGTAACCGGAGTAATGCTAGCAACAGCATGCCATCTACTGCATCAACACGAACATCTTCCTATGTGTTATATTCATCCACAAATGCCACAACTGCCGCTGGTTCGTATTGATTGATTGTTTTACAGAGTTCATACCGATCTATCATGTCTCTCTACTCCTAGATGGTATTGTATCCAGCTCTTTCAAATATGTAGATTGCGCGGAAATAAATGTCATCTATTGAAATCATTTCTTTAGTTAACTATAAATTGTAGTAACTATCTCTTGAATATCCATTAGTTGTAGTTCTGGATCTCCTTTAACAGCTCCAATCTAATTCTAGCTTTTACAACAAAAATTATTCATATGAAATTTTCAGTAGTTTAACATCTAAACTTCAGATCATGAAGTTGCAGATACGAAATTGGAGAGACAAAGGCAAAAATTTTAGATAAACTTCAAAAAATAGATGATGGAGGATGGTGCATTGTGTGAATTATATGAGGGCAACTTAATGGTTCAGAATTGAACAAAAAGGACGGACGGGATACCCATCGGGGATTGAAACTCATTTACTTAAAGCACTTCTACTTCCCAACCACCATAATAACATCAGCGCCTTCTTTCTTCCTTCATCCTTTTCACCGTTACAATCTCTTCTTTCAATAATGAGAACAATCCTAAAGTACTTCCGACTCATTTTCTGAAAGCAATATATCCTCCCTTTCACCTACCCTTCTTCCTTCGCTAACATTGTCTTTCCAATTACTTAAGTTGAGAATTCTAGCACAAAAAATATTAAATTTGATTATTCTTCCGTTGAGCATCACTTCCCAATAATATTATGCAAAGTGGTAATTGAAGGATGAAAAGAAACACAACTTGTTTAGCTGTCCAAAAGCGAGATCTTAAATGGTAAAATTAAAGGGCATAAGGAAAAAAGATGCCTGTCATACATTGGACAGGAAATGAATAAATGCGGAAAAAAGTGACATCGCTTATGTTTCTGTTTGTATGCATCGATCTGTTTATGTGCTTCTACATATTTGCTCGTGTTTCCACCTGTGCTTCTCTTTACATTCAGAGTTACCTTGAGCCATGCAAAAAAAGGTGCCATTCGTCCTCGACGGTCGGTTGCCTAAAAACTGTCAACATTTCACGCTTCCATTTCTTTTTTAACAAAACTTTCAAGCAAACAGAGGGCAATATATTAGTATTTGCCGCGTTGATTTCTAAAAATCATGAATTTTTGATATTATTATATAAATAGAAGAAAGAGCGGTAACAAATAAACTCACCGGTTTTCTACTTTACCCTTTCTAGTTAATGCTGCACAACATTCAGGATAACTCATTTTTTATTTTATCATACATTTGATTTGAGTCATCGACAATTTAACTAGTTGGCCCACTTGTAAGGCTGTTGATTACTTGAATCGCTTGCTTATTTCTGATGCCACTGTAGATGTAAAAGAAAACGTGAGAAACAAATTGTTGATTAAAAAAATTGATGTCTTGCTATTTGAATAAGAAGTAAGTAAAGATTTCAAACCATTAAGAAGTAAATATGGGGGTCGGCAAAAGAATCATAATAATTTTCGATTCTTATAAGCACCTCCTCATTCATCAAATGTCTTCTTTTTGTTAAGATGGAAAGGTTGGAAGATAGAATGGATTTCCAAGCACAAAATCACAGAAAGTTTTAGTTGTTATTACAACATCGAATCATTTTGTTATGCGCTTCGTTCAGTCTTTTCTTCTTTTGATGCTTTTTTCATTTCCATATATTTCAACCTTGCATTTTCCATTCATTTTATGATTTCAATTGCTAATTGTAATTCAATTTTGAAATATCAGTAAAAGTTAACTTTAAATTTAACTTATAGAGACTGAAGATAACCTATAATTTTGCATGAAATTGATGCTCACTTCATTCTAATTGATTCAAGTGGACGAAAATTTCACAACTCTACATTGATCACACAGAAGTGACTGATTTTAAGTGCCTTAAGAAACTGATTTAAAAAATGCCTGATTGGTTAACAATGATTGAAGAAGAGCCGTTTTTCAATAGATGCGCTTCTTGATTTTGATTATCGGATGACTAAAAGTGGGCGGAAAGCGGGAGGAAAGGGAAATAGTTGGGTTACAACTGAAGTATACCAGGTAAGGTCACCGACTTTTACCGGAAGTGCTTGGTTGTCGACATCTAGCTGTTAACAGATCAATGGCGTTCATCAGACTAGTTGGACGAGGGATAGTTGAAAGTAAATAGTGCGTTGTTGGGATAAATAGGACACTGAAGGGATTTGTCGACAGTCAGAGGATTGCCGAGAACGATGAATGTTAGTCATTGACTGCCTGTCCAATTCACAAACTTTTCACATTACTCAGCAATAAATTGCTTTTCTATTATTATTCGTCATCGCCAGCTTGCTGAACTGTCAAGGAAGTTTAGGGAGGTGAATAGAATTAGCTGTATCATTTGATTGACATACATCGTGATATCTCAAATAAAAAGTGGAAATCACCAAACAATTTTTTTTTAAATTTAAAATGCTATATCCGGCGAATAACTTCTGCAACAAAATATTGTAATGATGCTGTACTGCATTTTGGATTAACTGGAATATTTTGAAATCTACAAAAAATTATCTTCCAACTTTCAAAAAATTAAAGAAATTTGTTTAAAACACTATTATGGAAGATATTTGTAGGAATCATTATGATCATTATAGGAAGTATTCTCTGATTTAAGCGATCATTAACAAACAGCGCTTCAAAAATTTGGCCACTGTTAGGGCGGTCTAAGAACAATTCATGTGTTCATATGAATAGCTCTTGTTGTCAAAATTTTCATAGTAAACAAAGCATGCTAAATTTTGGTTAAAAATTGGGAATTCAAATAAAAAACTTTATATTCGGCACCATATGCCGGAAAATAAGACATTTGCAGTTTAACTTGTTAAGTCTTATTATGGCAGTGGCATTATGTAGCTAAAATTAGAGTAAATAAGCAGCTAAGTAGACCAGGTAATAATATTAAAAGTGAAGATCATATAAACCCAGGAGCCAAACACCATAAAAATTAAATCAACCGCAGTGTATCTCGTCACTACAAAATAATTTTCCTAGATTTTCCGAATACTGCCCATAGTTGTCCTTCACAGCTATCCTCTGAATTTTTTTTTGTCGAAAAAAAAACTACTAATTGACCAGAAAATAAATCGAATATTCGTCCGGGCTCAATTCTATTTGTATCAGTCCTTTGCATCGGAATAGGACGAAGGGCAAAATTACAAAAAAGAGGAAAAAATGAATACAATCTATTCCCGATGGAATGAGGACCCAAGAGAATCTGTACTGTTTTACTAGTTTTGTTTTTTAAGCCTCGCTATCACCAAAATTTTCAGTTCTTTTCATTTGATTGTTAACAGTCACCGTAGTTTCTTCTATCTTTTTCCTTTAAAAATAAACGAATTTATCGTGGCAACGAATTCAACAAAAATAGAAAAAAAGAAAATCTGAAGAAAATGTTTCTTGAAGAAACAATACTGCGTCCTTAAAAACACTGCAATTTCAATTTATCAACTTAAAAAAAACATCCCTATGCGAATTAAGTAAGCAAAAAATGATTTTATGTTGCATGCTAGCAAAATATCCATTGAGATTCTTAATAATACTCTGTGATCAGCAAATCCTATTATTACGTCTAATTTTGGTTAATTCAATTCGGACAGAAACAATACTGTTACCATAAGAATATGTAGGCAATTTGCATGTCGAATTATTTCAATCGAATTATTTCAACTTCTTTTCTTGCAGGACTTTCAAAGACTTATGTTCAAAGTGCATAGCGTAGAATTTTATACCTAGAAGAGAAGAAATTTATGTATAAAAAAGGCTTCCAAATTTAACCTCATTAAATTCTCATTTCTAGCATCTAAATATAAAAATTAATAACTTGATTTGAAGAAGAATTAAGTGGGAGAAGAAAAGTCGGACGAGCCCAATCAGATGAATAGGATTAAAAAATCGTTTACTTCCAAATATTTACTTACTCATCGATTACTTTCATCATTTAAATGTGCAGGAAATTATTCTTCACCATTTGTTTATTTATACTGCTTACAGATTTATATTATTACGCCATTACCTGTCATGTTGAAGAACGTTAAAAATATGAGAATGCATAGAAGTAAGCCATTGTTTTTTTACTGGTGATCCAACGCAATAGCAACGTGTGATTGTTGGTGCTACAAGTGATTAAGTCATTAGATGGCTGGTATCTTTGTGACGCAAATTTTTCAAGTAAGATTGAAGGGGAAGGATTTGGACTCGGATGGGATGAAATGTGTGCATTCGTAAGTGATAAGAGGTGTATTGTGGAGATGAAGTTCGGTTTATTGAGCTAACAATTTGTATTTCATTTTACATATCTATCACCTTATAAGGTTAGAACAGATAAAACATTTGTCCACTACTCCGTAGAAATGAGTAGGTAGTGGGTAATACATTTTACCACTGAAACATTAAATATGTTTAGTAACTTTTTCGTTTACAATTTTCATCAGTTTTCCAAGACCTGCTTGATGAACAGCCTGATTTGTTGTCGAAATGTCAAGTATATTGATTTGATTAACATATGAATGTTTTACTTGGTTGGTTGAATGGGAAAACGTAATAAGAACAAAGCCGATCGGGAAGATTTCGTCTTTCCACACAAAACTGGTATCTGTATTTTTGTTTTCAAAGTAATCTTCATTAGAAGTTTTATGTTTTGTTCTGGTCTTTTGCACTGAGAATCAAATAACTCAAAATTTAGGAGAGTTATCTTCGAAGATGTTTTAATTTTTTGAATTTGGAAATTAAGCTTAGCAAGCTTGACCACTGTTGCAAGTAAGTTACTATACAAGTTTTTTCTTTGAATACATCATGTGTATGCTTAACGGAGAATGATGGGTTTATTAGAAAAGCTATTTCATAAAAAGGTGAAGGTTTTTTATTAGTTAGTGGTAATAAGATAGAAAGAGAAACTGAAAGTGCAAAAAAGATAGTATACCTTGTACTTCTTATCTGGAACTTCTCCACATAATGAACATGGCAATACACTCTCTTTTATCTCAACTAATAAATTTGCTAGTATGATTGATACATAAAACTTAAACTTCTCTTTTACGATATTCAGTGTATTTTCAGTGATAGAAATGAACAGTGATCACAGTGATGATGCATCCTGTGTTAGACCTTCGATATTAAATTATGATATGCGTAGCGCTACTGATAAGGAATTCAAGTATTTTGTAGAAGTTCATATTGAATGAAAGAACAGCTGTTTTGAATTTGACAGAATTTAGTGCATTAGACTGACAGGAAATATATATATTACAGTCTTGGTTCCGAATTGAACTGCAGTATTGTCATAAAATCTTTGTTTTAATATATGGACTTTTCCACTGGAGTCATCTATCATACATCAACGTATAATAATATTTCAGATGGGGAGGATATGAATGAATTTTAATTCATTGTGAAACTCTGTATTTCAGCGTATCAATCCGTTTGGCTGCAGTGAGCAGTATCAAAACTTTATTAACTAGACGATATATAGCTCTCGAGAAATGGAGTGCTGTGTTAATAGATATTACTGATAAAGCGTTACGAAAAACCGATGAGGAAGCAAAATTGCTGCTTCTCTATCTATTTTGATCTCAGTTCATTTGGGTCAGTTTTATGGAATTCAATTCCGGATAAGCTCACACCACATAACCACATTAATTGCAACTAGGAGCTTTGTAGAGAGCAAGTTTCAAAAACAAACATACCAGAGTTATAAAAATGCAATCCTGAAATTATTGAAGTTTCTCTTTGCAAGCGTGCTGCATGATGGACCGTCAGGAAGATTTTGTCAATTTTTTTACTTTTTTTCCATTAATTTTCAGGAGAAAAGGTTGCCAGTGAAATGGAACCGGTCGTTAGTTTTTTGTGCCAACTATCCATAGATCCAGCTCGAAACGTTTATTTACGTAGGCAATGTGCACGTTCGGTAGCTCTTTGTACGTTCCTATACTTGGAACAGCCAACATCTATTCTTGCTTCCATTGTTACATTACGGTCTATTTGGTTTACTGCAAAATCAAGTGCTGTTTCTTTGAACCTGTTTTGCGCAGCTTTATCGGGATGGTCTCTACTAATTCATCGAGTAAGAATATTCAAGGAAAAGCAAACTACTACTAGTTTATTCATTGGTGGAAGTCAGAAACATGTTTCTGTTTTTATTTGCCTAGCTAAGTCGTGCTGGCACCCTGTATACCCTCACGGTGGACTCCTAGAAGTTTGTAGTAGAACTTTCCAAATCATTTGGACTATTCCACGGAATAAGTATTGGAAATTTGATCACAAAGAGCCACATTTGCAATTTAACTCACACTACTTGTTCGTAATACGTCATCAAGTAAAGTCTTCCATCATATAATTTATAGGGAGGACCAGAAATTTTGAGAGTTACGTTACTAGATGAACCCAAATTGTCTACATTTCTCAATGGCACAAAGGTAAGTGCGTTGCATCTGATGTCTGTTTTGATGTTTCACTGAAAAATTCAAGTTTTAGTGGAACTTACTAAAATTATAACTGTTTATTATATTTATTAAAGTTGGAAATGAGACTAAGTGCGGGTAAAGCTTTGGCAGTTTTGCATGAAGTTTGCCGTAGCGACATTCGGTGATAAGTATCGATTTCCTAACCAGCAGCATCTTTTGGATATCTTTGCGAATTTAACAACCGACTCACTGAAATTTCTAGCCAAGAAAGATCGAAAAACACAATAGTGAAGATAGCCTTGTTTAAACCTATTGTTTTGAAAAGCTGTGATATAATAGCATTAAAGAGAGCTAGAAATCATGGTATCCACCGTTCCTCAAGGTAGGTGTACTTAATATCATGCAATACCGTACCAAATTTAAATAGTCAGCTGTTTATATTTGGGTATTGGAACTTTGATAGGTCTTATGTACATCAACAGAGAATAACATTCTACCAACCGCTTAGAAATATTAGTTGAGCTTGTTTCAGGAACAAGAAATGCCGGAATTTGATATAAGATTTGGCGATGAGACACTGCGTATAAAATCATATCGAAAGAAACTCTTGTACGACTTAAATGTAGCGTTTTACGTGGTAGCATAAATTCTCATCTCAAAATGAATCCGATTTTAAGACAGCAGTTTGATCTAGGACCGATGACTGAAGTATTTCCAACAAAAATAGAAAAACTGCGATAGGTAATTCCACACTTTATTGGGTATGTTTGCTAGAGGGAATCAAATTTTTTTTGTATGATTTTATTACAGATTGCCACACAAAATGCAATCAACAAAACAAGGGATTTACAGCGGTTAAAGCAGAGGGACAAACGCATCGTGTACTTTTAGTCTTTAAGAAGCTGTGTCTTAACTTTTTTTTATTTCAATTCCTTATTATTAATACAGCTGGGAACAGGATAAATTTAAAAACAAAACTCATTCTTTGCCTCGCAGACACATTTCCTTTCGAAATATTGCTCAATGCATGTCCTTTTCCTCATCATCTGCAAAACTACAGTATATTTTCAAACAAACTTCGTTCTGCAAAAAATCGTGCATATGTAGTACATATGTCACATATGAATCGAATGAATCGAATATCAGTGCGTTGAAAGTTGGCTTGAAGCTGTCTACAATTTCTCTATGTTTTTTTATTCGAGAGAAACTCACTACCAGTACATTAAGGAAAGCTCATGCAAACTTTTGTGGCGAATTGCAAGATTTACTATCAACCTAAAATTGGAAAACAAGTAAGCAATGTAGATTAGTACTTCTAGAGACACAAACAACACATCACATATTTTGCCGAACATTATACAACAACCTGAGTGAGTTGAGACATTCAGAACTTTCATGTAAGTAGTCCTTGTTTCTCAAAACATATTCAAAAAAAATTCATATTTCAATAAAATATTTTGTTTTAGCACTGAATCAAACTGTGACACATTTCAGCAAAAGAATTTACCTTTTTCACGCCCAAGTTAAAATCGTTCGTGAATAGACCCTGCAGCAAAAGACACGCTTTACAAAGCTTCTGTGACGACATGCAACCACATCTGAAGTTCAGACAATTGATTCATTATTTCTGGTCATGAATGCTAATAATGAGAGTCCAGGATGATACAGAACTCACCTTTCACACGTGATCAATACGGGGAAAGAAACATCACTACGGGCAGAAATGGTCTCGCCTGATCTTATTAAATCCAAAATCGCTTTCGGTTGTAGCCTCTCCAACTTCTTGACATACATTCTGTAAGAAAAAGTGCCTCTGGAACAAACTGTTATAATTCGGCATGGTATTCCCGTGAAATCAAATTAAAGACGTACCTCACGTAATTGCGGAAGGAGTCAGGTGCATATCTACATTCCGTAGAAAAATAGTCCAGCCTATTAAAATGTGCATACATCACAATATCTTTTTCAAAGACATATTTTAGAGGTTTTGTTCGAGGCAAACAATCTTCCAATCCTAAAAAAGGTAACTGTTGTCAGTTCTAAAAAATATGCTTACATAGAATTCATTAGCAATACAAAAGTTAACGATACCGACAGCTACTACTGGGGCTACATGGGCGTCATCATCTTTGTTTTAGAATCCATTGATCGCGCTAACAGCGGTTTGATCAGGATATAACAAACTACACTATTTGCACACTGCTTTCCGAAATGCATAGTACTTGGTAATCCAGTCATGATGAGGTGTCTAATTCACATTGATTTTAGGATTCATCAGAAACACTGATTAAGGAACTACTGCTGAACCTGTTACAATATCGGTACATCGTTGCAACCGCGCCAAATCGCCTCGCAAAATGTTAAGTAACACTGTCTCTGCCATATCATCAGCATTATGCCCTGTTGCAATAATATTTGCTCCACATTCAACTGCGCCCCTAAAATATAATACAAATACTGCTTTTAACAATAGTACTCATAGAGTAAAAACCAATTACAGAGATATGAAGATTACAATACAGAAACAATAAAAGGAGGAAGGGATAGAGAAAAAAGGAATAGATCATTTTAGAAATAACGTCACCTGTCTAAAGCACGTCTTCGAAAAACACCGCAGAAAGTGCAGTTATTTTTGGCACCAACCGCCGACACAACTTCATCCATTGTCCAACCATACAGTTGTTTATAAGTCATTACGACTAATGGTAATCCGTAATCATTTCGGTTTCTTTCAACAGCTTTCAGTGAATCATCACGGTAACCCTAAGAGCACAAAAAATCTGAATTTCACTTAAAGAAAAAAAAGTGCAACCTTTATCCATTCAATCCAAAGCCTTTTTCTCCTTTTTCTAAGACCAAAATCCCACTCACGTTTTCATTCTCAAGCCGAAAGAACCATTGATTTTGTAGATTCTCAAAGCTGCATGGTAACTCATTTTGCCTTTACTCATACAATGTCGCTGTTACAAAACATTCTTTAGTAAAATAATGTTAGAGAAAGCCTCGAAAATTTGCAGCTGAAAACATTCAATCATATGAATGGAGCATTACATTCTAATGTAAGCCACCCATGCACAAATTCTAAAAATACCAAATAAAAATATCAAAAAGAAAAAAAAATACTGTGATTCCTTCATCGATTGAAAGCAAAATGATATCCAATCCGTAACCATGCTTCTGATTCAGTTTATGCAACACATGAATTAATACCGTTGAATCTTTACCACCTGACGCTCCCACAGCAACTTTCTTATCTTTGTCGAACAAACCGTAAGTTTTAATCACATCATGCACTTCCTGCAACAAAAAAATAATAAGTCCAACACATCCTTAAGACCTAATTTATGATCCAGTTCTTATTGATAACATTCCATACTTCTCCATTCAGAAATCTTTACATTATTATAAAACCAATATGGTCAACACTATTCCACTTTTCAAGCACTTGCTAGTATCTATGGTTCTTAATTAAACATTATCTAGTCCAAAATTATTTCCAAATGCATACGATTACTCAAATGTAGTTGCAGAATTTTTATAAATCGCTTATCATTTAAAAGTTCCAAGCTACAGTTCACCACAGTAACGGAAAACACCTAGAAGCCGAAAATTTTATACATCAACGGTAATGTTGGTAACAAGTACTTTATGGAACCTAGGTGTAATGAAGGTCCTACAGCAAAAGGATTTTGCTGATATCAAATATTGTCAAGACCTGACCAATACTGGGTAATGTCAACTCCGCCAGCTGAATCAACGGCGCATTTCTCCCTACAGCTTTTCCCAAGAAAAAAATTATAGTTTCTCATTAATAATGTCCGATACCTTGCCATTCAGCATTACCACTTTCCTCTCATTTTCCTGCATAAACAATGCATGAATTTTGTAATATCAAATTAACACATTTATTATTATTCTTACAGTACTGAAAGAACTACAATATGGTTAAGGATTAGCTCCTATTACAATTTGCAACCACCTTTATCTCGAGCTCTCCGATGAGGATTTGCCAAGTCGATCCTCCTCAATCAAATAATTTTACCAACTGAGCCATATTCCACTAAATTAAAATAAAATCAAGCTCTTTGCATTAAGAGAGTAATTATCTCTTTCTAGACAAAGACATCATAACTAACGGTAGGGAAATGCCAATTTTCATTTCTCTTTTCTTCATATCACTATATACCGCCTTATTATTTCTCTTTGTATTCTAGTAATCTACAGAAAAACACTACATTTAGTATGCGAAGGATTTTGAAATGAAGAAATACTTTAGCTCATAACACTGATGAAGATGAATGATAAATTCTCTAAATTTGTATATCTAATTTACCGCTTCGAAGGCATCAGTGAAACAAACGACACAAGCAGGTTTACCATCCTTTGATCTCTTTACGGAAGCAGATGCATCACACTGCCAACATCGTGCCATAGCGTATTCTAAGTGAACGCAATTCTTTAGCCAGATTAGAATATACAATAAAACTGCCAATCAAATCATAATTAGCCATTACAAATCATGTCTTCATTCCAAACATGCGTAACAACTTCGCTGCACTTACTTTGAATATAATAAAAGACTGACAGCAAAACCACCGGTACAAAACAGCTATATTATTTTCGAAAAAAAAAAACACTTCATGTATCTGACTGAACTTCACGCTTTTTACCTATTTAAAAAATCTTCTCAGTGAATGTAGACCATAAAACACTGCAATTTCCTTGATCATTGTACTACGCTACAATCTAGGATGCTCAGTATCACAAACAATAAATTCATGTACGTGAAGAATTTTATATGTATTTGATGGATAGCAGATAAAACCATTCTGGTGAACAGTTCGAAAAACGCAAGACCGATCGATCAAGTATATCAATATAAAACAAAATATAAAACATAAAAATACGCAGTTTGTATTTAGGCAGATCTTTCCTCTGTGCATATAGATTATATAATACGAAATCGAAGTAGTAGCGAGTAGCGTGAAACAAAAATTGTGTCTACGTGGGACACCAGCATCTAATTCTATATGTTAAACAAATGAGTTAACATTTAATTGAATTTGCAACACATTATTCACTTTTTTTTTTGTCTTCAATGTCTACCTGGACTTAGAATGAAAATGACTGCTCTACTGACCCTGACAAGCCTAAAACATTCAAACATCCATCACTGAGTAAAAAACAATATGCGCTGTTTAAAACTAACTTCAAATAACAAAACTATGAAATGTAATTTAAAATGCTATGAAAGATTTGCAAAAATCATGCAGCATCATTTTTGAATGACAGCATGAAAATATGGTACGCTTAGACAGATCAATGTTACAGTCTAAAAAAAAACGAATATTTGAGAAAATTAATGAAGAATACAATATTACCATTAAGAAAAACATCAAAAATTCCAACATCATAAAATCAGGAAAATTGTTCTAAAATTCATTTGTTAACATTTCAAATACGTTTAGCGGGATCCAAAAATGATCAAAAAATTGTTAATAAGAAAGAACGGTATAGATTTTATACTGTCAGTTCCTGCCCAGTGAATGTTTTTCAAACTGATACAATTTTCCCGATGTTTTAGAGTAGAGGATACAAAAAAAAATCTTACCATTTATCATCATAAATATATAAAATATATCCAAACATATCACTGAAAGACAAATGTTCGCAAAATAGTAGAGCATAAATCCACAAAAAAATTAAAGCAAACAGATTCATAAACAAAGGCAAAAAAACAAGATTTTCTAAAACTGAAAATTATTATCCAATTCCATAATCAAAATATTTGAAAAGTTGGGTAGTCATAAATAGTGGCAACATGAAGCCCACTTGGAGTTGATCGTTGTGGTGCCTTGAGAGATCTTGAAAGCATCCAACTGAGAATCCAGATGTACACCTGCTTCGTATTGCCTCTTCAACTGACACGCTAGTTCCAAAAATGCATTATCCACATTTAAATTACTTTTTGATGATGTTTCAATGAACATGCACATGCCGTGTGCATTTGCTAATTCGCTACCTTCATCTCTTTCAACGAGACGTTCATTTTCAAGGTCTGTTTTCGTTGCTAAAAATTAGTTGTGATACAATTTTACAGGAATATATTACTTTATGATTATTTATCAACGAACTGTACATGCCTGCCACGCTGTTCGTTTAACTCTTTAAATCCGCAACTTTACAAATATTATCAAAATGTTCAGGAAATATGTGACGAAATGAACAATTCAACAACAAACTTACCTATAAGTACCTTGCAGACATTCGGTGCAGCAAATTTTGATACATCATCTAGCCAACGATGAAGAGATTCAAAAGATTGACGGCATGTTAGGTCATAACATAATAAAATACCATTTGCTGATCTATAATAAATGATCTCTACAATAAAAAACATCTGCCTGATACTAAGAATATTAAGACAAAGCTTTTTTTTCACAATCTGGCTTAAACCAGTTGCGTTTTTTATAGTAACCTTTACTCAATGTTTTACACACTGTTGTGAGTATGAAAAACTGTTTCTGGGAAATATAACAGTAAACTGTATTGTAAGATGACTTGTCACAATACCTTACACCATACTCATTCTTCATAAAAGGGGGTAACATCACGGCTTCAACATTCATGCTAACCTATAATAACTTTGAGTAATTGTGCGGAATCTTTCCTGACCGCCAGTATCCCAAATTTGCAGCTTCACACGTTTGCCTTCGATAATCAATGTTTTCATTGAAAAATCAACACCAATTGTTGTTCCTTGTCTTTCAATAAATGTTCCATTTTTGAACCTTAAATAGCTCACAACTACATTCAAATCCAGTTAAATTCAGTAATGTGTATAGATGTTATTAAGAATAAAAATGAGCCATTCCTACATTACCGAAACTCCGTTTCGGATTCTGTGCCTAATAATAGCATTATTCTTATAATCTACAACATGAAGTATCTTGGATATAGCAAGAAATGTTGTAGAAAATACAAATAAGTGGAGGACACCGTTTAAACTACTGAGATCTCTAGTAATATGAAACTATTCTAAAATTTTAACTGAGCGCAAAAAATCTTGTCGAATTCGAGGTTAGTACTGATCCTATTTCTTGACATATGAAAAGTACGTCACTGACTTTATTAAGCCTTCTTTAGTCGTCACCTTGACGAAGCTTGGACGTTAACGGAATTTAGAAATCCATAATACACTAAACACTGAAGGAAATAATTTCCGAAGATTAATGCGTGTTAGTCCATGTGAAAACATAATGGTTCCTACACCAATCAAAAATCATTAGCAATAATCAAACCTATTCCTACAATGCTTGAAAGTCTTATAAAATACCTTTGTACGACACAAGTTTTACCCACACCCATATCACCGATTAGAACTATTTTAAATAAAAAGTCGAAGGAATCGTCCGTTTCCATTACGAAGCTGCTGGTTACCAATTTCCTGAATTAAAGTGTGAAGCATATGAATAAAAAACTCCTATGCAGGAAACAAATGGAATTCACAGAACAATTTGGTTCATTTATAAATACTTATAAAAGGATGATGGGAGTTGAGAAGACTAAGTCCGAAACTTATGCAAGTGTATAGCCCGGTAAGAGTTTCTAATTGGACCGCTACTTCGTTATAAAAGCGCTAATAACAAAGCTTTTTTTAAAGTTGATATTTCAACACTTTTACAAGTGACCAAAAATTTCAGAAAATGTCAAATATTTAGCCATAGTAATGAGTACTTGTCAATCTGAATTGTAGTACACATTTAATGCCTGAAATATTTATATTTATGCAGTCACTTTCATATAAATTTAAAAACAAATAAAACAAATTAAGGAAAGATGAATACGTTACATATATTCAAAAAAGATTTTTGCTAAAAATGATAGGCAGAATGATTAGATCAACGAGTAACAAGGAAGAATACTCCTTTAGATGAAAGAAATCTTAAGAAATAACAGTAAAAACGTAGTGTCATCTGTATGTGTACGTTACACTGAAATTATACCCTGTAAAAAATTTTAAATTATTGAAAACATACGGAACATGTAATAAAAACTTTCGTCTGCAGTAGCACAGATCGTAACAATTAAGCTATGCTTATTACTAATTGCTTAAATAACTTTTTGTAAATGGTTACAATTGTTAAAATTCCGCAATAATCAATCCGGTGTGGTGTTGAGACAAATGTGATCTTATATTCAATATATGAAGGCATGTGACGTCACGAAAGAACTTTCGGGTTAACCCCGAATACTGTAGAGGAAGTACAAACAAACTTGACTGTTTGAGATGTTAACAACGATGCCACACTCAAATCTTGAAATCTGCTGCTATGGAATTCTTTATTACACTTTTATTCTCAAAATTAACCTCATCTTCCCACTAATTTCTATCTCAGGACACAACAGGGACAGATGACACCCGTCCAGAAAGATGGAGCCAGCGAGAACCAGCAAGCCAATTTTAACTTAGTACTGCACCACTCTGATTGAGACATATGAAAATGAAAGTCTCTCCCGGTGTTTATCTCTGTAGTAAACAGCTAATGTTGTGTTTGTTTTTACCTAGGCCTCTGTTTTTAATAGCGAATATTGACGCATGTACGGATTTTTTGTGAACTAGCTGTTCCATTATGTAGTGATAGCCATTTTAATCTTCATTTCATCGGGCCCATTTTAATGACCGCTCACTCAGAAATACTCTGTACTGTCCCTAGCCACTTGTAACGCAAATTAAATTGCCGCCAATGGCCTGCGTACATCTACTGCATTATGCAACTGTTTATCCGACTGGGGAAGAAAGTGGTTGTGTGCTGTGGTTTCATTGACTGAGTTGTCATCTGATGTTGATGTCCGCAGACATAACTGATAGAAACTGAACCTTTAGTTTGTCAGTTCACACACACATGAGCTATTTGCTTTCCCATCTTCTCCTTCATTTACTATTGTCTATACTTTATTGAAATGGATTTCCTATCATGAATCATTTCCATAACAAAATCATAAAAACTTTCCTCCTCATTTCTGTTCTTTCTATTCATATTCTTTCTTACGGAAGGGTGCCATTTCTGAGTTTGATTCTCTTGCCAAGTTTGTTAACTGCAATTAATTTCGAGCATTTCAGGAAGAACTATCTTGTGGTTTGTCATAGGACAGGATGAGTTGATGCATTTTACGTTTTCACATTGGATGAACATCTCTGAATTTTCATCTTGTATATCAAACTTCATTTCAAATTTTCCATATCATCTGTTATAAGTTTGATGGTTTCATTTGAGTGCATGTAATGACATGTGGTACAGAATGGAAGTCACTATCTTGAATTGTTTTCTTTAGATCTTCACACAATTATTTCTTTGGATTGGACATTGTAATGACCAAGTGTAAGATGAGTCTCTTTCTAACTGTCCAATGCAAACTAATTGTGAATCAGTGTCAGCTTATTAATGTTGCTCCCAAAATTTTTTAGTTCACTCAAACATTTGTTATATCCTTTGCTTTTTCAAATGTTTATAGTTCTTTTGATAGTGAACTGATTTACTTAATGGTATCATTTAACTTCACTGTATGCTTCAGCTGTCGTGTTTTTCTACCTTTATCATTTTCTTATCTCCACTGTTAGTTAATGATATATTTTCAAGGTGTGGAGTGTGCTGCTGAAAGAAAAGAGAACGAGTATAATGGAAGGTGTGGATCCAGACACTCTTCTAGAGTGGTTGCAAACAGGAGTTGGTGATGAACGAGATATTCAGGTAACTGGTGGATGTCTATGTCGTCTTTCATTATGTTAATTAGAGATTCCCTGTTACTCGGAAGCAATAAAAATAAGGAAAAACTGGATTTCAGTTAATGGCACTAGAACAACTTTGTATGCTCTTGCTGATGAGTGACAATATTGATCAGTGTTTTGAAAGTTGTCCACCGAGAACTTTCCTTCCTGCATTGTGTAAAATATTCCTTGATGAAACGGCTACAGAAAATGTTTTGGAAGTATGTATTTAATAGATTATTCTTGAAGTTGTCGTTTCAAATTTTTCGAAATGAATGATTTTAAGCGGATAAGATTATTTAATTTCAAGTGGATCAACAGTTTTGCTTCAGAAAGTAAAGATTTACACATTTCCAGTTTTTGTAGTTACACTAGTTTATAAGTTGAAGGGTGTCTGCCGCAAATTAACGCAAACGTAAAATAACGCATTAGTACAGTTTAAGAAATTACACTTGAATTTCGTAAGGGAGAGACCATGCAAAAATTTGAACTAGGTAGCTAAATAATGGAAACATAAAGGGTGTTCAGGAGAACACAGAGCGAGCCATTTTGTTACCGCCAAATCTATTCGCGAACATTTTTTAATTGCCAAATGAAGTAAGAGAATTTTTAAAATAGCAAAATAAATTTAGGTCACTGCACGTGCTATAACATACTATTTGGATGTATCGAATGAATGCACCAGACGAATAACACAAGTGGATGGTGCTGTTAAAGCAATCTGTAACCGACTGGCAGTTGCAGAAATGACTGATCGTACAAGCAAGGATCTCGGTAACAAATTTTACTACGTACAGCATTAATGTTTTTCTATTGGACGTGTATAAAACTAGAACATCAAAGATGTGTGAAGGATTTGTGTTAAGATATGCATTTCACTTCACACTACACTGTCACATGTTTAGAAAAGTGAAGAGGATATAAAAAACTGGTGAAGGTTAATCTAGGTGGAAGTAAATCATAAGTTACATTAACTATTTTTAACATATATTTATTTGTCTATTAGAAATTGTCGCACTCTTTTCATTCTTTGGGAACATTTTTATTACAGAATTTTACTTATGTTACATATTATTGTTTCTTCAATTTTTTTTTCAGCCGAACAGTGTGTGAAATTACTCGAACATGTTTGTCAACGGGAAACATCTGCAGTGTTTGATGCTGGGGGATTGCAGTGCATGTTGAGTTTAGTTCGTCAACATGGACAATATGTTCACAAGGTAACTTGTCAGAAATTTCATTTATTTGGTATCGAAATTTGAAACATAAAGTTGTACATTAAGTGATTAGTATTAAAAATAGAATTTATCTTGCCTCAAAATTTGAAACTTTGCACTTGCCCTGTGGTATTTTAAATAATTAGCAATATTTTAAAATTTATAGTTGAAACTGGGAGTATTAGGCCTGACATGTCTGTCTCTAAATGCTATAGATTCTTAGCAGCATTACAAAGGTAATGGAAGTCATGACTATGTTATGATTCCCTTAATTAAAATGGTATTATCATCAATTCATATTCAAGGATACTATTCACTCAGCAATGTCTGTCATCACGAGATTATGTAGCAAAATGGAACCGAGTGATTCTACCATGCCGGAATGTAGTGCCAGTTTGGGAGCTCTTCTTGAACATGATGATCCGAAAGTTTGCTTTGCCGAAAATTCATAAATTATTTTAGATTACTATTAGACATGGTAAAGTTATGGTTTTATTTAATATTTACATAAATGATGCTAAATACAGTTGAAAATCTTAATTATTTGACAAATGATTGTTTTTTCGAACATTAAAATACTGTTTTCTGTTCAGGTGTCAGAATGTGCTCTGCGTTGCTTTGCTGCATTAACGGATCGTTTCATTCGTAAATTCATGGATCCAGTGGAAATGGTACGACATGGGAATTTGGTTCAACATTTACTTAATTCACTAGTGCCTGCACATCGGACCAGTGGAGTTTGCGCTGCATCACCGTCACATATCAGAAATGATAATTCAGTGGGATCAAATGATTCGATAGCATCATCAGCATTTAGCTTAAATCGACCAACATCATTCACTTCCGTTGTCATTTCATTATTGAGTAATCTTTGTCGCGGATCATCGATTGTTACCGAACAAGTTGTAAGGTAATTTTTACGGCTAGCTAGTCAAGTAATTGGATTTTTGATACATTGTACCACTATTAATGCTTTGCTGATATGAAATTAAAGGGGAGAATATTTTTAAATAGCTTTTTTCAGTTCTCCATTATTTTTTTGTGCACTAAAAACAGTTCTCACGAGCAAAGATGAACGGTGTATAATGGATGCTTTGCGTTTTTGCGATCTTCTTATAGTACTTCTGTGTGAGGGGCGAAATGCTTTACCAAAAAGCATGGGTGCTATTGTGGCTAGTCGTAATGAAACAGGTTTGTCAATTGCAGATTTTGTTTGTTCTGTGGAGTGTTTCTGTCTTTTTGAAATTCTGAATTTCTTTCGTTTGTGATTTTGTTTGTTCTCAGGTCCTAATTCGTTTGACCGTTCTCATAGGCATCTCATCGACGCAATTCGGCAGCGTGATACAGATACTTTGATTGACGCTGTTGAATCAGGACAGGTAAGGTTTTAAATTTTTACGTCTTGATTCAAAAAATTGTATGAATGAATAGCTCTTAGTTTGACGATGATTGGTAAGTCATCATCATCTACTACAAATGATTTAAATGTATGATTTTTAAAAATTATTTTGACTAAAGATACAATTTTTGATTGCTCTCACTATAGTTATCTTTTTAGTTAGTTTGAACTAGAGCTATTAATCTGAATTAGTTTCTATTAATTTGGATAAGAGCTGAACATTACGAGAACGCTGCTGATATCATTATTTATTCTGCTTAGCATTTATTGATTGAATTGTTTTTAAAAAATGGTATTCTACAATACGTCTCATAAATTGTTGCAGGTTGATGCAAATTTCACGGATGATGTGGGACAAACTTTGCTTAATTGGTCTTCTGCATTTGGCACTGCAGAAATGGTGACATATTTATGTGATAAGGGTGCCGATGTAAATAAGGGTCAACGCTCTTCATCACTACATTACGCTGCTTGTTTTGGTAGGTCAGATGTAAGTTATTTTTATATCCAATTAAGATTTTTTTCGAAACTTGTAGCTTATGTATTCATTTATCTTTATTCTAAGATTGTGAAAATTTTGTTGAAATACGGAGCGAATCCTGATCTTCGTGATGAAGAAGGTAAAACAGCACTGGATAAAGCACACGAAAGAAGTGAGGAAGAGCATCAGTTAGTAGCGAATATTTTGGAAAGTCCAAGCTCTTATATGCAGAGAGTTGATGAAGGTGAGGTAAAACCATTTCCTTATGCAATTAGGTCCTTCAATAAATCTCTTCAAAAGAAGCAATCTCCCTGATCAACTTCCATTGTTGGTAGTTGTTGTCTTATTAATTGTTATTAGTTGCCACATATTTGGGTATCTTCATTGTATGCATAATATTAGAAATCCACTTTTATCTTGTATTATTAAGAGATAACTTCAGTACCTATATGATCAATATGGACGTGGAGCTTTGTACTTGAACAATTGAAAAATGTAGGATTCAAATAGTATTCGAATTTTTGATTTAGAAAAGGTAATGAAGGGGAAAACTGATGTTGCGAGAGAAACATCAAATGAAAAGATCGATCCCGCTATAGTGCGTCAGTTACTAGAACATCTTTTACCAGTTTTGTGCGATGTTTATCAGGTAAAACAGTTGTATCATTTTGTGAATTATCGCTTCAAGACTTCACGATTGCTTTATATGCGTTTCTCATTTTAGTATTGGCTGTTTTGTAAAATATCTTGCCACAGTTGCTGTTAACTCTTTAAAAAAACTTGCGATTTGCAGAAACTCATCACTGACTTAAATGTGAAATCTGGTTTAACACAACAGCTCATATCATTCTCTTTTATTTAGTAGTCAAGATCATTTCCAGTAATTATTCTGGATATCACTGAAATAAGTGAAACCCCAATCTGCAAGATTTTTCTGTCTTAATTAAGGTCATGGTTTCTTAGCTTGTCATTAATTGCAGTTTTATGCTGTTGTTGGAACCGCAAATTTATCAATAACTTACAGCGTTCACTTGGTGCTAGTGTACATAGATCCAGTTTGTCGCTTCTTCGTAAAGCTGTCTATTATATATCACCTGAGTCAATGGAATCGATGGTTACGAATGACAATAGTGAAATCGATATTCCGAATGATATCTGTTTTTCTCGTGGACAGCGGCTTGCTGAAAATCTTGTCACCGTTCTTATGATAGGTTTGGAACATGAAGACGATACAGAATCGCATGAAAATGTGTTACAAGTATGTACTCAATCGCAGAGGTTATACAAATACTCTTAACTCTAGGAAACAGTAACATCCCTAAAATTGCATTATTTTTTTCTTTTGTTCATAAACAAGAGTAGCAAATTAAATATGAAAGTCTGACCCACATACATTTTGTTCAAGCCATTAAAAAAAACAGTTGTTCTCATTCTTAATAAAACAAACGGGCATTCAGTTGCGAGTAGGCAGTGTGCGTAATGTTTGAATAAACAGTACTGTACAGGTAAATTTTACAGATTATCAAGTCTTTATTCATGAAAAATACCGACTTTTGGTTAGAGCAGTTGATGCGCGTTGGAATTTTTGAAAAAATTGAAGCTATTGCTAATCAACCAGTAACACCAGTTAAAGATGGAGCTGTGTCAACAATGGTCATTGATGAGAGTGGTCGCATATCAAGCTCTTTATCTGTTACAGTCATGGATAACATATTTATGAAAGTAGATGAACTTTCACAAGGTTCAGTTGATTATAACTCATATTTTTTATAGGCAAGCAAATGCGCATTCTTGTGGCAGGATTTTACAAATATCGACTTGTTACAAATAAATAGTTGCAGAAGAAAGTTCTGGCATAAAAAATAGACGGCATTTGACAGCAAATTCTTCAAAGAGCTCCAGTGATGAAATTATAACGTCTTCAACAGTTATATCATCAATTAAGGAAAAAAGTGACCACACGATGGTCAATGTTCCTGTCCACGTAAGTTAGATTTTATTGAGACATACGATCTTTATATTTTATTCCTCTTTGTTTTGTCACTGTTGTTTTCTGGTTAAAGATTTTCTAGCTTCATTCGACAGTGCACTCATAACCATAGTTTTTGTTTCCAGGATGATGATTCATACAATACACCGGTAACTCCATCTACTCCGGAAGCATCTGAAACTGATTCCGTCACACCGGGTTGGTATTTATGTTAGCTGCCATATCTAATAGTTATTGATGACGAAATTTAAAAATTGAAAGGAATTTCAGCAAAAACTGCTGCTGAAACATAATTGTTTTCGACTCTACCATTATTTGCTGTTTTTTTGTCGCTTTATTGGGGAGTACCATTTCACAGAATCCTGCAAATGTGTAATTCTCACTGCTTTCTCTTGTGGAATATAGAGCTATTTTTATAGTGACTTGCAAATATAATGTCAGTACTGATCTTTCATCAGCAGTAGATGATCAGTGGGAAATTGTACAGGGTAAGAGCTATCGATGGAAAGATTGGAGGATAATCAAAACTCGAGATTCCTTCTTTATTTGGTGCGATGCTGTTGCCGTGGAGTTCAGGTCTGTTTTTTTTGATGTGGAAATAGACTAGTGTTATAATTCAGCAATTTCACAATCAGTTATTACTATAAATTGGAAATTGTCTCCGCTCATTTTTACTAGTGTTTTCAGTGATGGTAGTAATGGTTGGTTCCGCTTCATGTTAGATGGTCAGCTCAGTACTATGTATAGGTATTCCGTTTGTCTTGAATTCTTGTCATTTTATTATTGTTTTTTCTCTTCCAACTCTTGCTTGATCACATACTTCTAGCAGTGGGAGCCCAGAGGTTGGTTCTGACAACGCTGAAACACGTGGTGAGTTTTTGGATAAGCTCACCAAAGCTCGGAATGCTGTGCCATTAGGCAGCTTGCTTCATTCGATATTTAGCGTACCGGATATTAGTAAGACGGTATTTGTTTTTATTTAAACCATTGTGTGCAGCATATCAGTTTATTATAAATTTGCTCGTAAAGTAAGTCGAAAAGTATTTCCGAAATGTTAGGCTTTTAACAAGTTTAAGCTAAAGCTAGGTTTGGTATTTTTATTGCTTTAATATTATACATATTTAGATTGAAATTGGCAGTTGGATCTTGGCTTCGCCAAAAGTTAATGAACTGACTATAACGAATCGTGATGGGAACCAGCAGCGTTTGATCATTGTAGAGGATTTGCCAGGTTTCATTTTTGAGTCAAATCGCCAAACAAGACACTGCTTTCAAGCGGAGAGGACTTTGGGTTCGTTTGAACATATTTTTTGAACTGCTGAAATGTTTTTGTTAAATTTCCATTATGAGTGCGTGTTTTCCATTTATTTAAAGGTGCATTTGTACAAAAATAATTGAATTTACTTTATCTTTGTAATTACATTTCCAGGCTTGGACTTTGTTACTGGATGGGCTGCAAGAGGCGGCGGACGACGTTTGCGCTTCCGCGCGGAGACCCAGAAAGCAAAACTACAAGAAATGGCGAAAGAAATTTGGGACAACTATTTGAAAGAAGCGCAGGCAAAGCCGCGGGACGCCTTGGTTGAATTGCAAAAAGCATCATCTACAATTAAGGTTCGTGTAAGTGAATGTAAACACGCATCGTAAAAGTGAGACTGGGTAGATAACAGTACAATTAGAAAAATGTCTCAGATGTCTTCCACTCATGAAGTTCGGAATACTTTTCTGTTGCAGAAAAAAAAATGTCATTCAGATGCTATTTGGTTCCACCGAATTAGTTGATTTTATTTAAGGGAATTTGTCAGCAAAAAAATGGTCGACTGCCAGAACATATGCTTTCGGAACTAGAGGCGGCTCTGAAATGTATACATTCTTCTGTTGTCAACGATCGTCTGCTATCAACTTTTGAGTTATCGATATCTGGAATTGTTGATGCTTTGTTGGCATTTCTGAAATTTTTACAAGGGGACACGGCTTGTGAAATAGCAGTCATTTTCCGAAAGGTTAAATTTCTATTTTTTAACATTACATTATTTCATAATTTTGGTTTTTTTATGTCTTTGTTATTTATTTGTCAATTATAGGTGCCATTTACCTTTTTTAAACAACGAAAGTTTTTTTTAAGGTTTTCGTAGACCAACGTTCACTGTCTGCCCTTGTGCGTAAAATGGTGTCGGTTCTAGATGCTGTAGAAAAATTTCCTCAGTATCTATATGACACTCCCGGTGGTTCATCGTTTGGTTTACAATTACTTAATCGTCGTATCAAATTGAAATTGGAACAGTTTAATCCAAATACGCCGTCTCAAATGCAGTTGTTGAATCGGTAATTTTTCATACTATTAGCAAAAGAATACGCGCGTTGAATTAAAATTATAGTTAAACAATTTTAAGGAGATCATTGTGGAGTATTGTTTCGAACTAAGTGGAGTATTTAAAAAGCTTATCTTAAGTATTTTGCGAACTAGAAGAGTCCCGTCAAAAGTCACTCACAGTTCATGCAGCAAGCAGAGACAGTTCTGTAAGATACTTCAACTACTTTGGCTTTATTGAATTTTAGATCGGGTAGAACAATGAGAGTGGAACCATTAAGTACAGTGAAGCAGTTGAAGTGTTATATTTTACGAATGGTTGCTAAACAATGGTATGATCGAGGACGTGAAACTTTTCATTTTGTGAAAGAAATAAGAGACGCAAAAAAACGTGGATCAAAAATTTCGTTTACTTACACTAATGACTTCGATGACAAAGGTTTTTCAGTACTTTGGTTTATTTTAATGGTTGGTCAGGTGCATGCTGACTGTATCGTAAATGCAGCCGTTGGGCTATTATTTATGTACTCTTTGACTGAAAACACATAATGATTACCTTAAGGGACTGCTCGGAGCTCCCTTATGATGGTGACTTCAAACCGTTCAATTTTTAAACTGTCCGTTGTTAGTATAGTAGTGGTGTTGGTACTTAAAATAAAGACGTTCTGTATTTTCACAGCTTTTTTCTGTAAAATGTCATGATTAAGTCTTTTTTTACTGATAATCCCTTTAGGTTTAATATACTGGTTGGGAACAAATGGAAAAACAGTAGCTGAATGGACGAATCCAGCAAGCGTTCATGTTGTTTTTGTGACAAGTTCTGATGGTGAACGCTTGCCATACGGCCACCATGAAGACATTCTAAGTCGTGAAGCTCTCAATTGTCACACCTCGGATGATAAGTGAGGTTTTTTGAAAGAGAAAATAAGGCTTGTATTTTTATGATTTCTGCAGTTTTTAAGATAGCGTTATAATCGATCCATTTATAGAAACGCTCATTTTACGATTGATCTTGGCGTTTATTTTTATCCAAATACTTATACCCTTCGCCATGCTCGTGGCTACGGACGATCTGCCCTTCGTAATTGGCTTTTGCAGGTTTGTGTTATGATGCTTTCGAAAATCAAGAGATTCTAGTTGAAGAGCTAAGTAGTAAGAGTTGCGGAACGAGTTAATTTGATTAAAATTTGTCATTTTGGATGCATGAGTTGGAGTTTTGTCTCCAAACAAATAAATTTAAAAGAAATTTTGATTGTAACTTTTTACACTGTGTTTTTTATAGGGTTCTCATAATGGTCGAATATGGGATGTACTCGTGGTACACGAAAACGATGCTTCCTTGAATTATCCAGGTTCTACAGCAACATGGCCAATTGTTTGTTCAGAGGGAAAAGGTACAATGCAAGATTTAGTTGTTTTAATAAATTTATTTTTATTGCGTTTACGAGGTATTGAAGTCCATGTTTATTGCAACATAAATAGGAAATAGAAGTTGTCATAAATCACTCTTAAGGTCCCTATCGATATATCCGCATTGCACAAAATGGTAAAAATGCTAGTAATCAAAATCATTATTTATCGCTATCAGGTTTTGAAATATATGGTGATGTTGTTGATGTCGTGGTAAGTATTTAAGCCTTGAAGTGATTTTTTTCTTTGCTCTGTTTTCTGTAATGAAAATGAAGGTTTGCTACCAATTTTTTTTTAAAGGTGAATCATAAGGAAAAAAGTGTTATTAAGGCGTTTCAAAGTTTTGTGAATTAAACGTATGATGCATTTACAAGAAATAAGAGTGATCTTCGTTTAAGGCATAACCGTTCTTCATTTCTATGATTGGAGAGGAATATTTCCTTCAGGTAGATGATTTTAAAATTCTGGATGAAAAACCAAACATGAGCAGCAGGCGATCCAAGAAATGCATCGTTAATACCAAGGAAATGTCAGCGAAAGACAGTATTGCTAGTGAAGCACCGCTCGTTTCAACAAATACTGACGTACGTTTAGCAACTTCATTTAGTGATGCCAGTGTTGCACATTTACCTGGCGGCCAAACCAACAACAAAGTTGTAAGTGGTATTGTTGGATCTGATTTGATGCTTGGCGCGACAAATGTGATGAAGAACAGGTTTGATGAATTGCATCTTAGAGTAACTACCTATGTTCGGAGTTTTTAAAAAAGATATCCGTGTCGCTTTTGTTTATAGTTTCAACAGAATCAATTTGTAAACTGTTAATTTAGTTTCAATCCTATTTGAGTAAAGCTGTTTTTTATTTGCTTTAAGAATGTTTATTGGAGTTCCAGGACGTCTCGCTATCGGCGTGGTTCACGTTTATTGGCGGCAAATATAGCGGGACGTGGGGTACGTATAGCTAACGTACCTGATGCAATGGCCTGTCCGCTGGGCAGTCGTGTAGTTCGGGGCCCGGATTGGAAATGGGATGATCAAGGGAGCAATATGGAAGGCACGGTTATATCCCTCATTGATAATGGTAAATTTCTGTTTTAGCTTAGGCTAATCATTATTTTTAGAACGAAAAGTGAATCACAATATTTAGGTTGGGTTGATGTTCAGTGGGATGATTGTACATCAAATTCTTACCGCTTTGGCGCCGACGGAAAATATGATATTGAACTGAAATCTGTTGAATGGACACCGGTAAATTTCGCATTTTAAAATATTTCTATTAAATCATTTTGTTCAATTGCTTGGCGATGCCTTTCGGAAATAAAATTTTAGGGTTTACGTCGAGGTTTCCGAGTAGTTGGTACACGACGAGAGAGTCATGCTGCAACTACATTGTCTCCTACCAGTAGCGGTCAAGTCCCTCCTGGATTCTCGTAAGGAAGTTTTTCTTTTAGTATTTCTTATGCCGTGAGATTAAATTGAAAATTAGATTCATGATATTCATACAAGTCTTTTTTATTTTGAAGTCTGATACTTTCATTCTATTTTCAGAAATCAGCTTCCTCCAGTTCCTCGTGGATTTGCAGATTATAGTCCCACAGGAACATTACGAAAAGCAAAGCCTGGCAGTGCACCTTTTTCTCAATATCATCAAAGTGTCAGTTCACGTAACAGTGCTGAAATGGGTGGTGTGTTTTATTTTTTTATTATATTATCTGGTTACAAAGTTGTTCAAGTTGTGTAAGCTCATTTTTGCGAAACTGCTTTCAGTAATCATGAAACTGTAACATGATAAAAACTTTCCGAAAAAATTTTTTCACGTTGTGATTCATTTTTGCGAAGTGGAATGTGAGTTTGAAGTTGTTATTGCAATTTATTTTGAGGTTTTGATCGGAATATATCCAATTCTTGTCTTCAATGTGGTTCACAAGAACACCGCACAAAAGACTGCGCTAATGTTTTGGATTGTTCCAATTCGCAGAGATCAGAAATTAATGCAGAAGAAGGCGAAAGTAAGTCTGAAAGTCTGTTAAGAAATCACTTTGATTCTTCTAAGTCTTCAAATGTTGCCTTTTGCAAAGTACGTATTCAATATTCAGTGTGAAGTTGATATTTGCAGGCAACTCTGATACTAAGGTTGTCCCTTCAAATCAGATATCTTCAACTATTGCACAAAAATCGATGTCAACTACAAATTTATTTGATGTAGAAGTTTGGTTTATTTAATTTGCGCAAAAGTGATTAAATAGTACTCTCTACGTTTGTTTGTTTTTTTACTGACACATGAACATTACTGATATTTTGACTGAATTTTACGCTATAATTTTCCGAAATATGACAATTTGAAAGTGATCATTAATAGACATTATTAACAAATTTACATCGGTTCAAAATTTTATACTACGATTTCAGGGATCTGAAGCAACGAAGCGAGCATCGGTAGCATCAACAAATCAAGCGGCTAGTGCGGAATCTTTACAGCATCAGACACCATCTCTAGAAAATTTATTGGCGCGTTCAAAAATATTTGATGACCATATCCCAGAAGTTGTCTCGGATGATATACTTGCAGTCGAGAGTCAGCATACAATTGGTAGGTGTTTCCGCTTTTTCAAAGGTAACAATTGCTTTTCCGTGTACTTCTGGAATAACTGCCTGTTTATTATTTCTGTAGTTGATTCGCCAACAAAATAAATATTTTTTGTATGCTTTATTCTGCACTAAATTTGCAACCTGTAGAGACCATCTTCTTTTCATGTCTCCTTCCTTAGCTGTGAAATCCAGTCGCAGGGCTAGTTCTTTTTCTTTGTTCTCTTTGCTCCTGTAAACATGTAACAAATATTGGTCTGATAAGGAGAAGGAATGCATCAGTTGCTGATGTTATCAGTGCAGATATATAAGTTCCAGAAAGTTTGCTATTACCAGTGTACTTTCGTCAGTTGCCTAATAGCTTGCTTTTCTTCACCGTTCTTGCTATATTTATGTTCTCTGTCGTAAATGCAACGTAATTGTAATGCACTTTCACATTTCGTCTTCCTTGTTCGTTGATAAACATATATTTGCTTTATCAATTTATAAAACATTGTGTTCTCATATAACTTCAGGCTCCTCAACAGCTATCGATACTGATCAAGAAAGCGTTTCTACAAATAATTGTGCTGGCTTGGATACTAGTATGGAAAGTTTCGATGGTGCAGTCGCAATTATCGAGCAGACACATGATGTGAATGTTTCTCTGAAAACTTGGTACGGTATGAAACGTCGATTCTGAAAAAAGTTCAGATGAGAATAGTGTTAGCTGTAACTTTTTTTTCACCATATTTCAAGGCGGTATTTTCTTTTGTCGTTCGTTGAATTAAACATTTGAAGCACACACGTTAGTGGCTCTCAACCTGTGCTACTTGATCAAGATCATGACACCTTTGGAGAAATTCGAGTAATCAAACAACGTGACACATGTTCATATCCTAAAGATTCGATTAAATCCACTGTACAAAATGACCTCGTTCCAATAAGCAACAGTAATATGACGTCGTTGGAGGAAGCGAATGCGCGAAATTTAGCCAAGTAAGTTGCTTTTTCTTGTTTTTATATACTACGCGAATGAGAACAAATACATGATAAAAATGTAACGCTGTGTGTAGTAGCTTTAATGGAAGCTTCATTTACAATATTATAATCAATGTTTGTTCTTATATTACTATATTTAGTTTAAGTGTTAGCGCTCCAAATTTGGTTGTTGTACGACAACTCCAACAATCGGGAACGGTGTCAAACACTGATCAAGTGTTCATGCCCGGTGACGATAATTTGGTACGGAATATTTTACATGATTTGGCCAATGATCCGTCTCGGCTTCATAGTTTACATCGACTTGCGCTTGCAGGAACCGGTTCAGCTTTGATAAATGATAGTAACAATGGTAGGCTTTCTTTGGAGCACCTTCCTATTCTTTGGAGCACCTTCCACTTTAACTACTTTTCATTCTTAACTATTTGGTAATGTTTCTGTCCTTGGCACTTGATAGGTGAAGTGGGTCAAATCAAACAAATAGCAAATATTTATGCGTTTTCTTCATTTTATATAAAAAGGACAGTTTTCCGCGCTTGTTGGTATGGAAACCATATTTTCATATACTACTCATCCCATATTAATGAGTACTTGAGCATACTTGCACTTTTAATTCTATTGTCTTGTCTTTTTGTGCATGCTCAGTATTTTAATTCAGTCATCGAGATAGTAAAAATGTGCGAAGAAGATGAAAGACTCTTCTATCTCTTAAAGAAAAATGTAATGGCACATATGAAAAGTGCGTAATTTATTATAGCAATACGTAATTCCACTCAGCGATATTTAATTGATGGAGAGCATGGACGAGTAACGGACGAATCATCCGGAGCACTGACTCATGAAGTTACTCGCAGAAATGCCGATATGAATAGTGAAATCAGTGATCGCATCGATGCTATCACACCAGTTGCTGGTAATTGTTTCTCTTCAAGTCGCCGTATTGATGTTTTAAGGGTAAAATCGAAGTGTAGCTTTTGTAGGAATTAATTAAAAAAAGTAATTGCAATATATTCAAGCATAGAAAAACCTTATTTATTTTATCCTTGTCTTGATTCATTTATAGATGACGAATCGAGCGAAAACAAACTAGGAGATGATTGGAAACAGAGAGAAGGAAGTCTTTCAGGGATGCAAGGAAAACTTCCCCTGGAGCCTGTGAAAATCTCTTTGGTACCCATGATGTTGCAGTCATTTAATGCGGGGCGAGGAATCATAAGTATTGTTTTATACATCAATTAGAACTTTTTTTTGCATATTAATAATTTTTTTGAGATCTTAGTTATTATAGCATTGTTGAGATTATATGAAAAAATGTATAGAGGTGACTAAATATGCTACCCAATTAATGCGTATATGCGGAAGACAAAAAGAATTTGCTATCTTTTTTGAATTGCTGTTCTATTTCTACGCTATCTCTTTGTAATTTACAGGTGAGGAAAATGGTAATCGTAGTGAAGCAGTGACAGATGAAGTATCGAGTACTGGCAGTACAGTTTTTTATTCAACTGATCGCAGAGCATCTTTAAATTCATGTTCACGAAAGCAGCTTTCAGGTCCGTATTTTTTTGTTTTTTCTTTTAGCTTTTAGATCAGGTGGCTTTCTGTAACTTTATTATGAAATGTATAAATCATAAATATCGGAAAACGCAGCAAGTATCATTATTAGAAATTTTCTGGCTAAAATTTTACATATCTTGCTCTCTTTTGACATTATGTCAAATTTACTGGCAGTTAGTTATGTATGAATATTTAGACGAAGATATTTCTGATAAAGCTGATGTATCGATGGAAGCAGTTGGATCCAATCAATCAGATGGTCCTCAAAGAGCATTTGGTAAACCTTCGTTTGGAACGAGTTCCCGGACAGCTTCTGGGACACAGTCTGCTGCTTGTATGTATTTTTATCCTTCTTAAAGTTTTTGATAAATAAGAATAGAAAACATTTTTTCCTCCTGAGGAAAAAAAAAGTTGCTTTTTTTGATATGTTATTTATTCAGCTGTATTTTTGTATTTTGTTATTACAAAGCGCCATTATGTATTAATTAAAGTAAGAGAAAGTTATGACTGATTCTAGTGTTAAAAAGCTTTTTCTATTTAATAAGGACAAATATCTACATTTTAGGCTCACGACGTAGTACGCAAGGTAGTGGAGGCAGTTTCCGTTCGCGTTTAGGTAGTTATGCAGATGTTCTACGCTCTGTTGTCATGCAACAAATCCTTGATTCTGGTGGTTCAATGAATGGTCTCGAATTAGAAGAAATTGAGGTCTGTGTTCAGTGTATTATTTCCACCTATTTCAGTAACAATCGATTGTAAGCATAGCACTTCAATAAGCAGCGTTATATGTTTTTGATATTGAGAAGATTTTTTTAGATTCACAGTGATGAACTAGATAAACAACAGGGGATCGCGGTCAGAATTATACTTTTTTAGTGGTTAAAAATAAGGATCGTTGTAATTTATTGCCATGGAGATTTCATACCCGTAACAGTTTGGATTGTTTCACTTGTTCCACTCACTTCAGGATGACATATATGATGATGAAATGCAAGATGAAGGTAACGAAGATGATTGTGATGAGGAATATGCGAGTGGTTTATCTGTGGAGGCACTCGCACAAGCAGCAGCTGCTCTTCGTAGGCAGTCTAATGGAGGAAGTATTGGGTCCAGTGGAAAGCTGAAGCTTAATTGGAAGCAGGCACGACATTTTTCTTGTATTCAGTTAATTTGCTACTTTAGTCTTTTTCGTGACTGGTTAGAGCCTTTAGATGTTAGTATGGGATACGTTTCGAAATGACGAAATTTAAATCGGAATTCAGTTCTCAATCTTGATATTAATGGACTCTTTATTGTTATTACTCTATTTTTTATTTAAAGATTGTGATGGACGAGGCTGGGAGATTGATAAGTGATCGGGGTTTACGAGTATCAAATTCCTCAAGTGATAACAAACAGAGCAGAGGAGGTCTCAGTCGGAATTGGGATGATGAGTTTGTTTTGAAGCACCAACTACCCGCTTTAATTCCTGCCTTTGATCCTCGTCCAGGCAGAACAAATGTCAATCAAGTATCTTTTACTTTGTTTGCTGTGCATTACGAGCTGTAGGTTGCCGGCTGCTTTTTCGTATAATTCATGTATTAAGCTTCATAAGGTTTATTTTTACTATCAATACGATTTAATAATGATATAAACATTTTTGATAATGCGGTTATTAATATTACTGTTGTTCCAGACCCAGGATGTTGAACTGCCACAGGATATCAGTGAGTCTCAGAGTGAAGCAGTATTTCCTTCTACGTGTTCAACTCTATATTCGAAAGAGGAAGTATGATTCAAAAGACTAAATTTGCTACAGTTACTTATATTTTGGATGCTGTTTTTCAGGAACCAGAGTTGCGTTTATACCTGCAAGGACCCAATTTAGCGAATATCAGTAATGTTACCGTCGAATTGGATGATGATGACAAATCCATATTTTTCTATCTCCAGCAACTTGCTCAAAGCGTTGAGTGGGGACAGGTGAAACTATAAAATATAATATTTCCACATTTCCACATATCACAATATGTATTGATGATGACCATATGTAGCAATATGCTTAGTTTATACGTATACGACAATTGCTAAATTTGATGAATGAAATTCAAAGTACTGCATTTGCATTGTACTGCGCTCACTTGGCTCTCTACGATGGCACTGTTAAATAGGTGATAATTCATCATTGTGTTTAAATTTAGCTGTTAGTGAAATGACATTGCAGAAAAATGAAAGAACAAGGCGTGTTTGGGAGCCAACATATACACTGATTTATGGAGATGTATGTGACAGTAATGAACTTCCTCAAACGGTTAATAAAAAAGTTGCAGAGATGAATGGTATCCCAAAAAATGTTGCTCACGTAAGTTCATTTGTTTTAATATATTTAAATTTTTGGTTTATAAATTATGATAACTGTTCTATTGTATATCAGACTTTGTCATCAGGTTTTTTTTTTTTGGTTGGAAAAGCAGCTTCTGGTGAAGAAAACCATTGAATTTATTATGTTAAATCTTTGTCTTACGCTGTTTGATTTTTTTATAGTACTATATCAAAGGCTTGAGAGGGATAAAGGTAGTTATTAGAAAGTTGAATCCCGTGCTAATTAAGCAAATCCTAAGCACAAATTTCAGACGTTAGTCGTTCTTTCAAACCTATATAAAATTGGTGTAATGGAATATGAAATGACGACAGATATTTTTGTTAGTGAAAAATTGACACAAAAATTGATGCAAGAGCTGGCAGATCCGTTGATTGTTTCTGCAAAAGCTTTACCTCCTTGGTGTGATGAACTTATTTTCAAATATCCATGTTTATTTAGTGTCGAAACAAGGTTAGTTCCGCCTTTAATATTGCATGAAGTTGTTGACACAAGTAGTACTATTCTGCCACTTTTATTGACCGATTATGATTAAAATGACTAAATTTCTAACTCTGAGCCGCGTTTCTAAAGGTTTTTTTCTCTTCTAAAATGTTCATTAATTTTAATGTACAGTACTTTTTTCTACAGTGGTGAACAAGGTACTGCGAACCAAAAAGTTGGAGTCTGGAATCCAAAGTTGTGAGAAGAGACTATAAAAACATTGTTTCATTATGATGCAGTTAAAAGTTCATTATCCCATATCATTTTTTTATAGGAATAATTACTTTCGAGCTACTGCGTTTGGCACTTCACGTTCAATTGTGTGGCTACAAACTCGTCACGATCAGGTACGAAATTTATTGTCTTACTTGGTATATTAGAGTCATCACTCCATTCCACTTTGTCTTAGTGCTGACAGTTGTATCGATGTGTTTGTTCAGCTAATAAAACATCGAAACAGTGATCATGTCATTCAGAATATTCTAATGTGTAATTAACAGATGCTTGACCAATCTCGTGGCGCGACAAGTACTGCAGCAGTATCGAACCTTGCTGGAACTCGTAGAGATGATAACTATCCAGAATTCCGCATTGGCCGAATTAAACATGAACGCATTAAGGTATTTTTTCAAAAAAGTGACATTTAACGAGAAATGATTTCGAGAATTACAAGATTTCTGGTTTTTAAAAACATTTTTTTAAATACTTTACTGTCTCATTCTTTTCAACTGCAAAACATTTAATCCTAGGTACCTCGTAATGGTGAGCAATTATTCGAATATGCTGCTCGATTACTGGAGTTTCATGCATCTAGGAAAGCCGTGCTGGAAGTTGAGTATATTGATGAAGAAGGAACTGGGCTGGGGCCTACATTGGAGTTTTATGCTTTGGTTTGTACCACTACCTTTGTTTTAAATGTTGGTTCTTTTCATCTCTTGCACCGCGAAAATTCGGAAAATCAGTTTGCATAATTTAGATGGCTGCCGAATTTCAACGCAAAGATTTGGCAATGTGGATCTGTGATGATGCGGATACTGATTGGACAGAAGAGATAGATCTTGGCGAGGGTATAAAACCATCGGGGTAAGTGTTATCTTATAATCGTTGGCGTGTGAAATTATTTTTTTTATCTGCACCTGCTGCGGGGTTTTTCTGTTTTTAATTTGGACAATAACTGAGCGAAGATATATCATATATTAATGTCTAGATACTACGTTCGTCGTGCTGGAGGACTTTTTCCGGCTTCGTTACCATTGTCATCTGCAGAAAACTCACGTGTTTCTAAACTATTTCGAATTTTTGGTATTTTCCTAGCTAAAGTACTGCAGGATGGTCGTCTGGTAGATTTACCGCTCTCGCAACCGTTTTTAAAAATGATTACTAATTCACAGGTATTCTTTGTGTTCAGTTGTGCAAGATGAAGTTATAATGCTACTAAGAAATGTTCATAATTGCGTTTGTATTTCCAGATTTGGTGAATAGATCATATAATATAATTTTATTTAGTTAACTGAAGGAGAGACACTTAATCTAAGTGGTATACTTACGTTGGATGATTTGGAAGAAGTATCCCCAATTCAAGGTCGGTTTAGCCTCAAAGCTTATAAACTAGTTGTAGTCTCTTGTTCCATCGCACTGAACATGGCTTTTTTCTTATAACTGTGGATCGCGCTTTGTATTTATGAGGTAGTCTGGTATTCTGGTAGAGTTCTGACTGTGCCAATAGTTGTGCAATATTTTTTACTCTTTTGAATAAATCTGATGAAAAGAGATTTTGGTTTCTTTATTAAAGATTTAACGAAGATTATTAGAAATTTTAACCATAAACATAAGTGATGGACTTGAAAATTGTTTATTAAGCAGCCCCTTTTATCGATGATTGAAGAGTCTTTCATAGTGTTTCGCAATTATTTGATTCAGCAATATTAAAGAAACGATTATTTAGGTCGTATATTAAAAGAGCTAGCTGCATATGTAGCGCAGAAACATTCTATTGAAACTGATCACAGACTTGATCTAAACACTCAACGACGACAAATTCAGCAACTTAAATTAAATATTAATGGCTCAGAATGTACAATTGAGGATTTATCATTAACTTTTTGGTGAGCATGACTTTATGAGGGTTTTTTTTATAAATGCGATTAAATTTCTTCTATTGAGATAGCTATATATTTTGTTCTGGTTCTGAATGCTCAACTATTTCAGTGTAAATCCATCGTCAACCGTATTCAGCTATAAGCAAATGGAACTGATTGAAAATGGTGCAAATATCGATGTCACTGCTGATAATGTTGAACTTTATATTGCTGAATGCACAAATTTTTATCTCAATTCTGGTATTCTTAATCAGGTATAAATTTTTGTTGCATTTATAAGGGAATTACTTTATTTGTTACTATTTTGAAGATATATTTTTATTCACTGGTTCGTAGATTGATCAGTTAAAATTAAAATTTCTGCATGCTTTTCATTTTTGCTGAATTCAAACTGATTCAATGGTGAATAGTATTATACGTTTACTAGTGTCCCATTTTCAGTTGAAAGCATTCCGCGGAGGCTTTGATCTTGTTTTTTCTTTGCGAAATTTAAGTATGTTTTTTCCAAGAGAATTACAGGCAAGTTTGAACTTTTTTTTGTCTCTATATTACATCTTTGGTAGTGTTTTTTCAGTTTGTATTAACAATTATCATATTTTACTCTTTTTTAAAATGAAATCGCAGTTTCATTTTTTTGGGATTTCAAACTGAAAAACTAGTTGGTTTGCAGACTTTGCTATCTGGTGATCAATGTCCAGAATGGACTCGTGAAGATATTATCAATTTCACGGAGCCAAAACTGGGCTATACTAAGGAATCACCTGGCTTCTTACGTTTTATTGATGTTCTAGTAGGGATGAATGCTAGTGAACGCAAATCCTTTTTGCAGTTTACAACAGGCTGTTCTTCATTACCACCAGGTTCGTAGCATGAAACTGCATCAAACCATTTCTCGTTTTACACGTAGTTTCTTTTCTGTTAATCTAAGTGGTAGGTTTTTTTTCTTCGCAAAATTTATTTCAGTCATTATATTTTCTATATTTATAGGTGGTTTGGCAAATTTGCATCCACGTTTGACGATTGTTCGAAAAGTTGATAGCGGTGATGGTAGTTATCCATCCGTGAATACTTGTGTTCACTATTTAAAATTACCCGATTACAGTTCTGCGGAAATTATGCGTGAGCGCCTTCTGACAGCAACTAATGAGAAAGGTTTTCATCTGAACTGAGAGATTTTTGTGTCATTTATTGCTGAATTCATTTCTTTCGGTTGTCTTCAAACTGTTTAATTTTTGGTTTATAAAATTTTGCTGTTTGTTGCGGACTCTTTAATGAATTACAACAGCACTACTTCATTTTTTTTATCCAAATCGGATTTCGGGTCCTTTATTGATCCGGTTATTAATTCTTGATTTTTTGCTTAAAAACATTTATGTTGTAGAAGTAAAAGTTCTCAAATGTTCCATTGTACGATGCAGGTGTATGTTGTATTGAATCAACTAATCTAATGTGTATTTTGATGTTTTAAGAGGTTATTCACCAGTGCAGTTATAAATTCATGGCTAAATACATATTATCATCCTAATCCAGCTGTTTTTATTTCTTTAGTTTTCAAATAAATTTTCTTCTACATTCATTCGATTTCACAAAATTACATTTCATTGCACATATCTGGGACGAATTCCTGAATTCAGAGAATTTGTTTCTCTGCATCCTCTTCCTACAATGGATTACTCCCGATATGTATGTTTTGAATAAACGTGGCAAGCGATTTATTCACGTGAGCACATCATGAAGATCTGAACCATGCATTCAACTTACATAACATATGCTCAAAGCCGTTGCAATACTCTTTATCGCAATTCTATTTGAAAATTCTGAAACTTGCTCAGTGAACATTCCGAATTTGGAGTACGTCTTTAGGTCACTGCATTGTCTTTTACTTTTGATCTCGAGAAAGCCTTTAGTTACAAAACAGTACGGAAGGGAATTATTTACAGGAATAGTGAACAAACAGGCAGTTATTATACTTGACATACGTGGAACTTCAATGTGTTAAGAATAGTACTTGCACATGCGTTTATGTATTTTTATGCACAAGAGAGACAAAATCATTATTTGACATAATAGCCATGCGGTTACTGATGGTACATCTGGTTGTTTACAAAAAACCAGCTTTCACTTCTGCTTATGAATCATTTTGCAGTAAACAACCAGCTTTCACTTCTGCTTATGAATCATTTTGCAGCCATTTTTGTATAAAAGTATGTTATTTTTTAATTGTAGTCATTAAGGATCCCGTCCTTACCTAAACACCAAGGTAGTTGAATTACCGAAGTTATATTAGTCCTGAGTAAGAAGGTATGTATGCACTACTTCATGAAACGTGAAGTATTGATTATGCATAAAGAAATGAGAACGATCTGAAAGAGTTGGTAAACGACTTTTAAAAAAATGTGAGAAATGAGTGGGAATACCAACAAACGGATTTTGGAATACCAACAAACGCTTTAAACGAAATGAATAAATTGTTACTAGAAAAAGATCTTTTAGTTAAATTGTCCGTGAGCATTTTTGTTAACAGAAGTGACAAGATAGTAAAAAAACGCCAGAAAACTATGGAAGAGGCTTTTGCGCAATTCGTGAGCGGGAGAGCTTGTGCCGAAATTTTTGCACTATATTTTATCCATTTTAAATGTATTATAACAAACTTTCTTTAATAGGCTATATTAATGATTCTTACTGATTAAAAATTTTACTCAGTTAATATACAAAACTGATTGTCAATTATCGAAAGGTGTCTACCATCAGAAGGAACGCAACAATTCACTGACGCAGACGACGACGGATAACTTACTGCTACTTCTACCTTTTGAAGTAAATGAGCATAACACAAAGATTGATCATTCGGATCATTGATCGTAACTACGATAAAATCAACACTGGTGACATATGTTAACCTCACACCAAACGCAATTTTTGGGTTGTAAATTGAGAGTTCTACAGAAGTGGTACACACATGAAACAATGAGGTAAAACAGTAGAATTCAAACTATACCTCATTGACTGGTTGAAAATTTAAACGGTTGTTAGGAGTAAAAATAAAAGGGTAAGAGTTTTATTTATAATCAGGGGATATTATAGAAAATGCGAATTAATGTTCATTGTGAACAGAATTTGGAAAAAAACCGTAACGGCTTCATCATACACATAAAGAATGGATATACTGAGCGTACTATTTCATAAAAAATATAAATACCTATTTTTGACTTGAAATATTTCAATTTCGTTCATGCATGTGCAAAATGCTTGTTTATACCAAGAAAAAGAAAAGAATCGAATTATCATGAACAGCTATATGAGTTACCCTCAACGACGAACTACAATGGTACATGCTTCAATTATAGACAGTATGCAAAAACCAAGTTTTCTCCCCAACATTTACTGCATTTTCAATAACAAATGGTTTCCGGACATTTTTCGTTGTATGTTTTAGGCATATAAAGATTCAGGAGCCGAAGATTTAGTCGATTTAGTCGCTCAATAAAACTGATACGAAGTTTGGAACAAACAGTTATAAAGCATTAAATTTTTAGTTAGTTCTCATAAAATATATACAGCACGGAAATGAAATTAGAACGCCAAAAAATTTACCTAAACGGTACACGAAGTCTACTGTCAAATGAGTCAATAAATACAAAAACAAGAACATAAACTTTCCTTAATATTTTTCTGTTTCGATCTCCTTCGAGTTTTTTGAATTCCCGCTTCCCAAAATTTAAAATTTACTCGAAAAGAGATCGGAAACTTCGAAGCAAAATCTCAAATTAAAACAATGAACAAATGTCAATATAGAAATCAAAAAACACCAGCCAACTGCACAAGGATGTTTTTGCAGAAATTATTGTAAAAAAAGTCGATAACGAATTGCTTTTCAAATAAAAAATCTACTCCATGTTTTCTTCATCCTTTGCCAATAATTCTTTTGCTCGCAACAATGCAGCACCTTCGTTGTAATGCATCTTTCTCTTCTTCTCAAATTCACATTTGTGGGCTGAAAGCCAAACAAAATCAGAAACAAGAATTTCAATTACTTCGTTTTAAAATATTCTTTAAAAGATGAAATTTTAACGATCTTTCTCATACAGAAACTACCTGCCACCTGCCACAAATTACAGTTTAAACACTGACTTGTAGCCAATGTTTTTGGAACTTGAACAAAAAATTAAGAATGCTATTATTAGGGAATCTTGAATTAAAGATGTAAAATCAATGTTTGTGGTTTAATTAATGCTAAATGGATATCTTATTTGAATTGTAGCTAATTTTTTGATATTAGTAAGATCAAGAATTTTACCACAAATGTATTCATACATTCCTTTTTATACAGAATAGGAAAATATATAACTTACCGATCTGTTCAGGAGTAAGCTCAACCTCGCTGTCGTCATCCGGCAAATTTTTCCCGAGATATGCTGGCGGAATCGATGTGCCAGCTTCAATGCTCTTAGCTAGTTTTACTGGATCAATTGCTCCAACCAAAGAAACTCGGCGTGGTGCCCTTGTAGCGTGACTGTCTCCATCGTCTTCATTATCGCTACATCCATGATATGGGGTCTTCGGCTCCTGAATCTTCATATGCCTAAAACATACAATGAAAAATGTCAGGGACAAATTAAAAGTTTCTAAATAATCTTAATTTGGAACATGATGTTCAAATGTACTAATGAAAAAGCGCATTTTTCAATACTGAACTACAAATCACAAGAACTAAAAAGTAAATTTAAAAAGTAATATAATGCATATTATATATAGAAATATGAAAGGCAATTTTGAAAAATTGAAAATCAAGTAAGAAGCTCTAGCAAATGATACTGTAAAGGTTCGCAGTGATCTTAAGATGTGATTGAAAAATCCAACATAGTTATTTCTTTTTACTGACAACCATTGAACCGCGAGCAAAATTAGAACATGAGCATTGCTCAAAGTAGTGGACAGCCTTTGCACCCTTCTTCCTTACTGATGCAAATGGCCTGCCGCTAACACTGTTTTGAAGAAGATGTGATGTTCTGATAATAATTTTGTAAAAGAGAAATAAAGGAGCTGGTAAAAAATACAAAGACAAAGAGTTAAAGTACCAACTATAAAGTACGCATTTTAAGTGTTTTTAATGAATGAATTGATCACGCTATGAGTAGGACATTTAGGTATAAAATGTTCTTTGAAAATCTTAAACATGTCATCCACAAAGTTATGCATACAATACAGACAGTACGCATTAAAAATACAAACCCATAATCTTTATCAGCTGGATGATGTGTTGCGATAATGTTCATTTCATCGAAATGGGCTCGATCTTCAGCAATACGCTTGCTTTCTTCCGCAGATGACTGCTTTGCATGAAACATAATTTTGGAAAACCGTAAACGAAAAATCATCTCTTAGCGGACCAAACAAATTTCATATTAAGTTCCAAATGTAAATGTTTTATATGTGATAGCTGACATTTAAAAAGAAACCTTGAGAATGGACTTTTTCGGCTTTAATTTCAAATATTTGCTTGGATCAAGCAAACCTGGCTCGCCAGAAACTTCCTGATCATGATCCATTATACAACTACAAGAAAAAACATTCACAAAGTACTATTGAACGGCGGAGCGGAAGATGGCAATTACAACGGCAAGAAAACTATTGGAGGATCATTCTTAACCTAATTTTTACAACATAACACAGTACAGATATATTCAATTGGTTATTCGTTGAGAAAAAGAAACCACAATGTAAGAAATGCACATGTTAAGCAATCTAAGTTTAGTGAGTGGAGAGATTTTTCTTACCCCACTAAAAAATGTGCTGAAAATATTGTGTATTTCAAGTTACCCATTCCTGATTCCTCGAGCTGTCGAAACTGTTGAAAACTGAAGTCCTGATTCTTGAACTTGTTAAAAAATGAAGTCTTGGTTGAACTGCTTAAAACAGAAACTCAGCAAGCTATCTTCCTGTAGTTTCTCACAAATCTAAAATATCCCATAGAGTTGCCTTTCACCCAAAATAAATGACGCTCAATGTCATCAGCTTAACATAATCAATGAGAAGTTCATCTTTTCAACCTTATAAGAATTTCTCAAGAGACTTGCAATGATCCGTTTAAACTTACGACTATTCTAACAATTTTAAAACGGCCATAACTTTCAGATATCGTAAAAAAAGAACTTATAAAGAAATAGAAGCAAATGAAAATAATCAATACAAATGAGCAATAAGTGCCATGTAAGACAAAAAAACTAGTCCAATTCTCTCCTTCTTTTGAATGTTCCTTCAGCTCCCTCCCCTATACTGAATAAACTAAAAAAATCACCAAAGTTAACAAGACATGCTGGAAGTAATGTAGTTCATATTAAACCGATATCTCTTCAGCTCACCCTTTTCTGGTAAGCTACCACACTAATACGCTTCAAGCCAAATGTGCAATTTAACAGGTTTAGAATGTTATAAATTATTCCACTGATAACAGCGATGTCGACTGCCACTCGACAGTGATATGGTTCCAACCCACTTGCCTTATTTCACATTTCAATTTCACGAGGGATGCAAGATATATATCGGAACATATGAGCTAATTTCAGAAAGGACGAAAACTACGGTCCTGGCACTGTCATATACCGTCACAGAAACAACTAAAAGCCTATTAACTCATTCTGCAGTAAATCGAATTACAATCTTTCTAAACCGAAGAGTTGAAAGCTGACGCGGCTCCGAAGGTATTACTGTTAAATCCTAGTTCTCGTATGATTCGAATTCTTATTTTGCAAAATTGGGGTCAGTGTGTAACAATTTGTGTTTTTTAATTGTGATTTCCGATGCATTAGATTCTTCCAAGGATGTTTGCAAACGTTCAGAAAACATAAAAAAGATTTCGGTAGAAATGAAAGCGAGTCCTAATTACAATATAAACGGGATATAAGTTTTGAAGTGAAATAAGAATGATTGAAAGTCCAACTATGTCATGTGAGGGAAACTAAATCTACTCTCCAAGATAAGTCATTTGAACAGGTCATGTCTAAGTGATTAAAACAGACTCTAGATGGGATAACTGCCCTGCAATAAAATATAGCTTTGAAAAATGATAAATGAAAAGCTATGTTAACTGATCGAACAAATTTTAACAAACAAATTCATTTTAAAATTGAGAACAGCCAAACGTAAATGTTTTACACTGCAATAACTGGCGTTAAAAAAAAGACTTTGAGAGTGGACTTTTTCGGCTTTAATTTCAAATATTTACTTAGATCAAGCAATTTTGCCTCGTCAGGAACTTCCTGATTATTATCAATATACAACTATAAAAAAACATTCAGAAAGTACTACCGGACAACGGAGTGAAAGACAGCATCTACAACGACAAAAAAACTGTTGGAAGATCTTTCTTCACCTAACTTTTTAAAACACTAAACAGTACAATATCTATTCAATTGGCTATTCGATGAGGAAAAAACCGCATTGTAAGTACACATATTAAGCAACTGAGTTAATGAGTGGAGAGAAAAAATACTAAAAAATAGGATGTTGAGAATATTGTCATTTCAAGTTACCCAATTCTGATTCCTCGGACTCTCGAAATTGTTGAAAATTGCAATTGCCAATCGCAAAATATGGTTTCCAAGAGCTTCTTTTATTAAATTTAATCCACTTTCTTACTGGTGAACTGCTAAAAATACCTTTCCAACTTGATCCATTTGAATGGCTAACTGTTTATATGTTAGACCAGATTAAAAAAGTATAGATGGCCTTAGAAATGTGTGAACCAATCAGCATGCTAAAATGAAGGCAAATAGTTCTCATGACAGTCACCAATAATGAGTTACTGTTTTCCTCCCTAAAATATAAGAAAAAAGTTCGGTTAATCAAGTTTAACTATCTACAGAGATATCCGATTGTTCTTAAGATCATAACAATCCTCCTTTATGGATGTTATTTTTTTAGTGTTAACTGTTGTGTCGAATATTTAATTCATCGCATGAAAAAAACAAAAAACCATTCCAATGCTGCAGAATGTACGTAACAATAAGCATATTGATATACGAAACAAATGCAACTTTCAAGCTAGAGGTGAAAAACACCTGAGCTAAAAGCTGTAATCTAGAATTAATACAGCTATGTGTTCGCGATTAATAAAAATTTCCACAGAAGTTGCAGATCTATAGAATTTACTGACCGCTCACCTAAATTTCTCACAAATGTGTTCGTTTCGGATATGTTATTCTGACGAAAGCTCACGGCACAAGTTCCAGTACAATAACAATTATCCGGAAGGTGGTGTATAGTATTGCAAAATAAATACATCCTGTGAAAGCAAAGCTATTGACTTAGTAGCAAACAACAACACATTGCTTTTTCCGGCTCATAATCAACTGTGTCGCTGAAACGCTGGAAGAAACATAGCTATCAACCTTCCAATATTTTGCATCAAATGAATCATACATTTTCATGTGTCGAAAAGTTATATTCGTCCTGTGATGTAGATGTTAGAATCCATTACGGCTGTAAAAATGATCCCGATTAACATCCTTTATAAAAAATCGTCCCTTAAACAATATCAGGAATTTGCCATCTAGCTACTTTTATTATAAAATAGAACCATGCAACACCACATACTCTTCCTACCAAGAAGCGAGAAAAGTCAGAAGGAACCATTGTAAAATGACCTGAGAGCCTGGTCATGAGAATTCCATTGCTTTTGAACAATCATTTCCAAACTGAATTTATATCCTTCCAAATTTTACAACAATCAATCAATGTACCCTACTTTTTCTCACCGCCTGAAGGACCAACCAGTAAAGAAGAAAAGCTAATGAACGTTATCTCAAATTTGTTATGGGGTTTTTTGTAAATAAATTATTAGCTCAAATACCTTTTGTTTGGAAAACAATATCAAGTAAAAAACATATACAAATCCAGATTTTATGACCATGTTACTTTTAAAATACGAAGGATGATAACTGGAATGCGTATGTAAAGTAGAAATTTTGTATTGAATTAACGGCAAATGATAGATTCAGTTGATTAAGCTTTATGAATACACTCCTATTCCCTACCCATCCAATATCTATTTAAAGCCAAAATTGAACCAAATAACGGTAAGAGCGTTGGTAAAAATAATGGCAGATAGATTGCAAATTTTTGATCATTCGGAAAATATAACAACGAGACCAAACTTTTATCATTCAGAACACTTTCGGCCAGTGCTCGACCTTCGGTAACCGATGTAATATCAATATAGCCTGTTTTCTCAACTGTTGAAATAGCCTGAGATATAAGCTCGACCGCTAAATTAGTTTTACTCGCCACCTAAAAGTTTACCGTGATTATTTATATTAAAGTTGCTGACAAATATAAGAATGAATGACGTAATCTTTGACTAGCTAGCTCAACATCTTTAGTTTCTCTTGTGCGAAGAGATGAACAGGCTAGAGTGCAGAATACAATTAAATTAAAAGGGTATTGTATTATTTGGTTATTTCCCTTAGTACTAGATCATTTAATGAACACTTTTAAAAGATGCTAACTTTTTATGATTATAATAATTTCATTTAGAACAAAAATCATCTCTAACATACCTCTTCATTTATAACAATATTATCAATTTGTGAGATTAATTTATGAATTGTAGCAAGCGATGAGATCCCATTTATCGAACAATCGATAAATGAACGCAATTTGATACGCTTAATTTCCCATTTCGCCACTGGCAGTGGTAGCCGATCATATGATATTGGTAAGTCTGTATCAAAGCCAAAAAGTACACGCATAGCCGCAATCACTGACTGATTGACAGCTAAGCGTTTCTTGCCACCATAGGAAAGTAAAGCACCCCAAGAAGCCACAACTACACCATTGCTTTCATCACCCTGGAAAATTTAGCGAGAAAACTGCAACAGCTACTGATAGGCTAGTTTCTGCAATAACCTCAAACCCTAACAAATTTAAACAATGAAAAGCACTTTGCCTTAAGTAATATATATTCCCGACTGCAATATTATGCTTTAGAGCTACTCACAGTGATTATTTCCTACGTAAAGCAAATACTTTTTGCTTTTTATAAATATGTCAAAAGAATGCCTTCATTTCAGTAGTAGTTCACTAGAATCCAATTCCAGACATTAGCAGAAGTAAAAGCAGAAAAACAATCGGTTAAAAGGCTTTAATAAAGAACACTACAATCATGATAAGGCATAGAATTGTGCTAGGTGTGCTGTAGTTAGCAAAACGTCTAGAAACGAATCACGGAAAAATGACCAAAAAAGTACAAAATAAGAAACTTGTACCATGTAGTCAAGAAGAGCAATTGGCTGAGATGCGTCCAGTATTACTAACTTCATAACTGGAGCAGATGATTCAACGGTGCTGGTCTCCTGTTCGATCTGAAAAATAAAGTACTAATATTATATTAAAAAATACTACTGAAATCAAGAAGATTTTTGGTAATTACGAAAGTTGAAAAAATTTTTTAGGTTTGCAAAGAATTTTTTGAAATTATTGAAGTGAAGAAATTTCTTACGGCAGTAACTATTTGTGATATGTCATCTATCTGGATGATATTTCTTTCTTGTACATCTTTTTTCAGCCATGCTGTCAAGTCAAAATCCCACAGATGTTCTGAACTGATAATCAAGTCTGATACTTCAGCCAATTTCGTAGCGAATCGGCGTGTATGCAAAATAATATCCTCTGGTGAATAATGTTCGCTACTTTCGTTATGACCAGAGTGTAAAAATATTACCTGCACAATGTACTGAGCACTTAAAGCGACTGAATCCCAAATCAAACGTTTCTATAAAAAAGAAAAATGATTAAAATTCCAAGCAAAAGAAACTTTACACATGTTACATTTATGATTCGTTTAGATTTCCTTAACGGTATTTACTTTTTAAGAAAATGTTGAATTCAATTTGAATTTCAATGGGATAGAAATTCTAACACAAAAGTCAACCTGCTGACTTGATGATAGGGCAACGATTTCCGATGATTGTATTCGCTGCCTTAGATCACGTCTTACAATTGCTGAAAGGTGGTTCGTATCCAAAAGAACATCTGTTATGACTGCAAATAAACGTTGTGCGAGTTTTGACTCGTCCTCGCAGTTCAGAATAAGTGTCCACTGGTCGTCGAAATAGGCTGTATACCCAAAATAAGGCCATACCGTCTCATTAATTATTGCGATATGCACTCCAAAGAAATTATTCATTTCCGCATTAGTTCTTGAAATGAATTCCAAAGTATCCTGAATAAATTTTTCTACAAACCGCTTAAAGGATTCACGAAGTTTTAAAGCAAAGAATACATGTGAAAAGTTGCAAAAATAAAAAATACGAAAAACCAAGACAAACCATATCTTCATGGTTCAATTTAAACACAAGGTGCAGTCGATCGATTTCTGGAAGCCCAGAAAGTTCATTCAGAAGTAGAGTAATTGCACGACCAACATGGGATTTCACAGATGAATACGAACTAGCTATTGATATATACACCTGTGTTACAATAAGTTGACGCTTTTGAGAATAATCTTCACCCAACTTATTTCAGCTTTGTTGGACAAAAGCCTTTCAAGGAAAATGAGTTTTTAGTAAACCTGGCACATCAAAATTTATAAGCGAGTGAAAAATCTGTAAGCTTCGAAAAACATACCGGCAAAGTGATCTGCTGATCAAAAGAAAAAGTACGAAATGGAACTCGGTATGTTGAAGTAGTCTGCCACCATAATGGTAAGCCAAATATAAGCATAATAACAATGAATGTAAGTGCAGAAATCCTTCGGAAAGGTAATTCCGCGCGTTCTTCCGCAGTAAGCATCAAAACCTAAGTATTCTATAATAATCAGTATTTTTTTGTAAATTAAATACTATATCGTTTTCTCATCAATCTGAAAATAAGAAATTTGTAAGCGATAAAATGATTGTACCCTTCTAGTGCGCTCTTCTTTTCCTTCTTGATGAAAGCTATGTGCCGGATAAACATTAGCGCCACTAATACTCATCACGCTTTTTGCCATTTGTAAATAATAAATTTAGTTAATCTTAGATCAAGCTTGCAGTTGCATAAGATCCTGAAAACGACACCCTAGAAGTGACATAGTGGTAAAACTAAAGTAGTAGCAATTCGTAAAACAATCACTTTAATAGAACAGGAAAAATCTATCCATGAATACAATTAACTTATTCTAATCTTGGAACAGTGATACCAAAGAATAAGTTGAATATAACAATCAGGGATTTGGAAAAAACGAATTCTTGAACTGAAATGACACACTTTGGAATTGCCACCTGCACTACTTCTAATAAAGCAGGTTCTGGATTCTAAGAACCAGATTCCTTGAAAGTGATGAGAAATCACACGCTATTCCTTCTTTTGCTTGTATTTTTTTCCTTGGTCACGTTTGTTCTAAAACCGTGATTAAATGAATCGTCTTTACATACCCTGAACTGCAATTTCTAATTTATTCGTAATAATGCATCGACTTGATCAAAATAAGTGCAATATTCCTCTAAAACGACGGTACTACATGTCAGACATAACTGTGTATTGTACTCTTTAAAAGTGGATTCACAAAGGCCATTAATAACTTAGGTAGTTCTTATTTAAGTAGATCCTGTGATATTTGGAATAGAAAGCCCTAATATTCATTCGTGGAAAAAAAATGCTTTTTGAATAATAGATATCAGTATATTTCTGAATTGTTGAAGTTTTCAGACACAAGCCTGTAGTGCTTTCACCCACCAACTGTTCCCATTTGAATCACCGTCGAGATGTAAAGGAGGTCTTTTTTTACAAAGGTTGTTCTTTGGAATGAAACGGACTCAGTGAAGAACAACAGCGCACTGCACTCACCCTGTGATGCAGTATCCTACTCACCAACAACTAGTAATACTGTCATCCCTAAAAGCTACCCTTCCAGCTTTTGAGATTCCTCATTCTCAACGGAAGATGACAAGATTTTCAAAGATATACCAAGACCATCAAAGATATAGAACTGGTTCTTCTGAATAATGGACTCAGATCTGCTTAGATTAAATACAGCCAGATTTATTAAAAATCAGCGTTAAAACAAAAGAAAACATTACACATATATATATATATATATATATAAGCATAATATCATACAATGGCAGAACGTGTCACACAAACGCAAGAAAATCTGTAGCAATTTGACAAGATATCCTGCTTGGACGTATGAAAGAATCTCTGGTGAAGAGCAAGGTGATTATCTTTAGCAATATACCAACAAAAATCTGTTTCAAATGTCGAATAACGTTCATACAGGAAATGCTTAATGCAGAATGAATCAGGCGCATATATACAAAATCTAACAGAGACTGGGTTAGAAGTCAAGATTGCATTTTAAATGTGTACCTATCCGTTCCGACACTAACAACCGTTTGTACAGCCTTCCACGAAAAAGCTATCTAGTAAGGAATATCCATAAAACACAGAAGAAATCATTTGACATACGCACTTCTATAAGCGTAGAATGCTGAACTAATTTGATGCAGCTAACAATTTCAATGCAATAAAATTTTCGTTAAACTAAGATCTGATGAAGTTTTTCTGTACAAAAGTGAGATCAGCAATGACCCACCTGAGATGTATAATACCAAGCGAATTTTTTTTGAATCTGTAGCACAAATTTATTAATAAGTATGGAAGCCGTAAAAAAAGCAAGATAAAGCTACCAGATTTAGTAAGAAACAAAATAAACACTCACTACTAAGGTCAGCGCTGATAGCTAAAATTAATAGACAAAAAATGAAATACTGATGAACATAACACTATAACTTTGTCAGAAACTTGTGACAAATCACAACCATTAAATACTTTGGACATTTGTTTTGAAATATATTATCAGTTTTATCCGCTTTTGTTTTCATCTACCAGTATACCATCTCGCACGCTGTGCAAAAATATCGCTACGAAGATTTTGAGCAAACAGTATACCCAGAATCTAAAGCGATGAACATTACAGGGCCTCACTAAACATCTTCTAAATAACGAATGTTATATGCAAAGAAAGCGGTCAAAATATTGCTTCCAGATTTTGCTAAACACTACAACAATTTTATATTTCTAATATGCAGAGAACTGAAAATGAATCTCCGAAGAGTTTGTTGCATTTAAATTAAATTTAATTCATCCTCCATCTTTGACAAAAACTGAAAGAAACACATAAAACATACTTGAATAACTGCAACAAGAATCACTGCAACGGCGACGTAAGTCATATTCTGTGATAAGTAATTCTCAATTTTAGGTGTACATCCTTCACTGTGTATCGTATCACTTAAACCCTGCATATATATATATAATCAAAATATTTATTATCTAGAATTTAAAAAACTGCACTAATTCCCAGCTACTTCTCACACTGATTCTATAAAATCAGTTTTTGCTCTTAATTTTACTTCTTTACGTATCTGCATTTCAAATCAATTTTGGACATTTAAGAGTTCAATATAGTCGATAAACCACCTCTTTAAAAAGTCTAGCACCATGCCCGCAAAAGAAATTAATGGGACCACCATCCACACCACGCATTTTTTTACAACAAGAGTACGGTACGCCACCAGCTTCAGGTGACGAAAATTGCTGTGATGATTTATTGAAATATATATTCATATCCCAGTCATTTGGTGACCTCATACCACAACATTTGAAATAGATTTGAACCCAGTCAATAAGTGCCTGCAAATCTGGATCATCGCGATACATTATCACCTGAAATTTACTGGGGAAAGTTGTTTTGACAAGTCTAATATTATGGCACCTATGTATTTGGATATTATGGTATCTATGTGTATTAGTAGTTGACACAGCACTGATGTAAACGCCCCTAAATTTTATCCAAATTCTTTGCACAGTTCACATAACATTGCTAGCTTTTGTTTCAGTAAAAAAGCTGATGGATCACAGTAGGGCGAAGTGGATGTAACAATATGCGAGAAATCTGTAAGCACAATAAATTTCGACGTAACTCATATTGAGTTGGAAAAACTGAAACCAAAGAATAGAATTAGTAATGCGTAATACGTACAAAGAGCTCGAAGGATCGCCTCCCATAATAAATGGATTATAAAGCTATTAAAATACTGATTTATGTAAACCTCACCAGCTTAAGTAAACCTCATCAACATTACAATAACTAAATAAGCAAATACAATCAACTGCATTAAACATACCGTGTCATCCAATCTAGTGAAAAATTCTTGAGTAATCCAGTCTTTAGAAGCGAACACTAAAACAACTAAAGCCATCTCAGCCAATAAAAGAAGACCGATAATTGTTGAATACAAAGCCAAGAAACATGTATTTTCTCTCAAGGCACCAACACAACCACTAAAACCGATCAAAAATATGAGACCACCTGAAATATTTTCAAATCTTCTGTATAACCATATAATTGAAATAATGACTTCAATAGTAGAAAACCAGCTTATTCGTTTGTGTGTTGCGAATATAATGCCCATGTATGCCCTTGGGATTTTTACGCTATTTTTCTTTATGTCTAATAAATTCTAGTACATAGTTCCGATATGGAATTTATTACATGCAGTTCAAACATGTAATAAATTCCACATCGGAAATTAAATCAAATTTTTTTAGCATCCTGAACAAAAAAAGACTGGACCTCACATCCTTGAAAGATTCCAATTTAGAAATCAAAGTTTGCGGAATGATAACACAAAATCTAAAATAATGCATTCAAAAAATTATTTCCTACCAGCAAAAATAAGAAATATTGCTGGATCAAGATAAAATTTTGATGCTTTATTTAGATGAGAATAAGCACTGTTCTTCTCAAAATGAGCCCAAACACCAACTGCGAGAAGCGCAAAACCAATAATCCAGAACAAAACGTTAAATCCGAAAATCGTGTATTTGACACAACAACTGATTTCAGAGGTGTTATAATGTTGAACAAGCATTAACTGCAAAAAATGACAAGCATATTACGCTATCTTTGGCGAAGTTCTGTATAGTTATAATGATTATTTGCAATACTAAACGAACATCTTTTCACCAGAATAAATCACACTATCAAATTTTGCGGCATACTTTTTTCCATTTTAAAAGGCTATATCCAGGACACGACTATCCACCTAATTTTTTCAACACAAAAATGTTATGAACGAACTTGCTGACGACTCATCATTGTGCCAGAATGATGACGATGTGCGCTTATACTGACTGGTCGACTTCTCGTCGTCCTTTGCACCGGAGCCATACTCTACCAAGTGTACACTTCGTACCTAGTTCGTTTAAACCCAAAACTGAAAACTCCGACTACAAATCTAAGAGACTAAACCGACATATAAGATGGCACCACCGCTAGGAATTAACCTGTAAAATCCCATGAAGAGTAACCAAATCTTCTACAAATCTTATAGAATACCGCGCAAAAATCTTTATTACAGAGAAAAAGATATAGTTCCCAGGGAAAATCGAGAAGGAATAAAATCCATCTGATAAGAAACAAAATAACACATGTATGTGCAACGGTAATATGTCAGTCAGAGAATCAAAGATTAAAAATTTATTCTTTTCCGAAAACTAAACAGAAAATAATAACAATCAAAACTGCGTTCATGCTTCTTCAGGTTTCTTTCAAATATTTGAAGGATACAGCATCTAAAACACAACTGTAGAGTGAGCGCAAAAGATGGAAAAAATGAAAACGACGATGACCATAAAAATCGTTCGAACTTTTACAGTCGTCCTGTGAGAAATCAAGCTTTCAAAATTTCCGCGTTTGATAACCCCTAGCGCTTGTGAAATCAAATAAGAAGTTGAATTTACATTGATTAAAAACAACAATTTATTTAAAATTATGTACGCCTTACCACTCGCACACGTTTGCCCATCGCCTGAGGTGGGAGATTTCTGCAGAATTTTGCTTTCACTGTACCTATATTGCCATGTACTCGAGTTATTCTCCCCCAAATTGCTCGTACGCGACTTGGTGCTTTTCCATGCACCCTTGTTTTTTTGTGTGCTTTATAAACATAGAGAACTCTTTTGCCAACATACCTGAAAATAATATTCCGAAATAAAGAACTACTAAAATGGACCAAAATTTGGTACTACCTGTTTAAAGCTTATTTCCAACCAGAAGTCCAATAAATTCTTAGCTAAAGCATCCTAATTTTAATTAAATCATGTGATAATGACAGAATTACAACAGTACAACAAGATCAATTTCGTCATTCAATAAAGAAAATTCTCGATGAAGAGAAATTCCTTTATTGAATGAATTCTCGATGCAGCTGCACTTAATGACTACATTAATCAGTTACACTTTCTGCAGTGGAACAAGATATCCAAGTTCAGTTTCTCGAAATGCATATAATACAGTAAATTTATGAAATAAGATAAAAATACTGTGAGTGCCGTAAGCAACATACCACTGAGCATCCTTTTTGTTGTAAACTCCGTCCAATTTTAGAAGTGATGTATGTTCAAGCTGATTTCGTTGCGAACGTTTATAGCCAGCAAATACTGCTTTCACATACAATCTATTGTGAAATCATAACAATAACTAAAGTATCAAAGGTGCCTTTCAGGAATTCGATGTTTGATGCAGCTTATAACTAAATAAGACTTCATATTTTTCCTCAGCACCCATAATTTCATAAATATTTACATCAGTTTCATAAGAAATAAGTCTTGGATAATGATACATTCAACAGCATTGAGCTCCAGTTATCTATGCGTCACTGATAAAAAAAAAGATTTCTTATATATACTAGAGTATAATCCAATTAAGAAAACCCGGTGAAGCAAATCTTATGTTACTTCATCAAGAAAACAAATAAAAAAGAATACCTGCCAGCAGGCTTAGGACCCTGTTGTCTCGCTGTTTGATCTTCGTTCATTTTCCAGCAATTTTAGCCGCGCCAGGCTCTAAGTACGTTTACAACAAATCAATTTTCTTAAATACATACACAGATTAACCCAAGTTCTACAAAATGGCAACAAAATTGTAGCAACCACCATCTCAAACGTAGACGCACCTATTCCACATCTATCAAACGTCTAGCATATGGGTGAAGTGAAGATAGCCGTGAAATACTAACTGATACCATTTGATGCTAAAGTAATCGTATGGAAATCTCGTCTTAATAGGGACAGTAGCATAACCTACATATTACGACACAACAGATGACCCTAAGCGCCCCCTGTCTACCCCCTTCGTCGCAACCGCCCTACTGAGAACATTAACTTTTTTTGCTGAAAGGGTAGGATTATTTTCATAATGACCTATCACCGTAGTCTATATAAGATCGATCCTTCGGCTAATATACCATTTGAAAGAAATTTGAGCAAGGGTAGACTTTGCATGGAATTTTGGAGTTCGTGTGTGTGTGTGTGTGAAGCGTCATTTCGTAACATGGGTCATTCAATTTTCGAGATTTACTACGGGGAAAGAAAGAACATAAACAAACTGTGGAAGGGTTTTTAGCAACATTGAACATGTTAATATATTAGCAAGTTTTAAAAGAATTTGGGTTTACACAGATTTTTTTATGATGTTCAGTTTTTGATGGTAGTAAAAATCAAGTTAATAGATGACAAAGCGTAAGTCCCTAAAATAACTTGAACCATTAACTCTCCTATAATTGGATGGGACAAATTTTCTTCTGCGATGAGGCATTGCAGTTCCGAAATCTCGTTGTTTGTTGTTTCAACTGAATCATCACAAGTACTTTGAGAGCACTGTAATTAATATCAGAAATGATTTGTATACCCGTTTACAAAATTTCACTTCTCCTATTCCTATCATATTTGGTTGGAAATGTTGTTAAATATGGATTTATTAATCGTATGCATTTAAACTTTGCTACTTTGAACCGTTTATTTTTTAGGGTTCCTTCTTTTGTTGATAAAAAAAGCTTCAAAGAAATGGTAATTGTTGAACTGGTCTTCAACATGGAAAGCACGATGATTGTAATAACCACCCGAAAGATAATTAAAAGTAATAGATTAGAAGCCCTTTTGAAATTGAGAATGTACTGGACAACTATTCTATTGTGCATATCCCGGAAGTCCCTGCAGACTACCATATTCTAGCTTGAAATTTTCACGAGATGTAAAGTGTAAGCCGGAAACGAGCTCACAATGCGGCCTGTTTAGATGCAATTCATAGCCAAATTCAGGAATTCAACAACAACTGGCCAATCAACCACACAAAATATCATTCTCACTGCCATCAACAAACGCTACTACCAGATGCATGTTTCGTTTCATACACACGAAATCAATTCCGGTTTCGAAAGTCAAGAGCAAGCTTTAACAAAAAAGAACTGCCAAGCAATGCAATCACAAAACGGCTTTAATTACAATCATTCTGCCTTTCATTTATTTGTGTTTTGCAACAAACATTATCCGCTCCTCTTTCCTTTTTCTTTCCCCTTCCATTTCCTTTGCTTCGTATTTACCGTTATCGATGATCCACCTAAAATCTATTTTCGACGTGAATTGATTTTGCAGTACTCACCCATTGTAACATACCTATTATTAATTTCTTCACATATATAAAATGACTAATAATTTCTCAGTTTCATCTGTTCCTATCCTCTTTTCCTACATGTTTTTAATCCATTCAAAGAGTCAGGATAAGGACTGCGAAGGGTGAATGCTTTACGTGACACACAATTATTAATAGTCATTTTATACCAGGTTGGTTCGTTCTTACCTGAAATTTTTGGACAGCAACAGTTAGATCTTGAAGTTATCACTGT